ATGCTCTTGTCTTTTTGGGTGGAAAGGCATCAACTGTGAAATTGATATTGATGAGTGTGAACAGACTGACTTTTGTTCTGATATCCATGCTAGCTGCTTTAATTTAAATGGATCTGCAGAATGTAGGTGTGATACTGGATATGAAAACTCCACCATTGATGAAAGTTGCCAAGGTAATTAACTTTCCAAAATTCCATTTTTTTTTAAAATAATCATTTATTGGGAAAAACATTTGATGAATGCTTAATTTATTTGAATTGAGTCCTTACATTCGAAAAGAAAGATACTTTTTTAAACCATAAACATTAGTAGGAAATAAATGCTTCTTTTCTACTGGAACTAGTCATCCTTATTACATGTGTTTTATCCCAGCATGTACTGCTACCCACTATGGTCTGAACTGTGCCAACACATGTAGCTGTAATCTCAACAACACAGATGATTGCAATGACACTACTGGAGAATGCACATGTCTTAATGGCTGGAATGGCACTATTTGTGATGAAGATGTGGATGAATGTCTGAATATCAGCTACTGTCTTGAAGCTAATGAGATATGTTTTAACTTGAATGGATCTGCTGAATGTCTATGTGACATTGGGTTTCAAAGATCCTTATTTAACTACAGTTGTCAAGGTATTGCTTTATAGTTGTTTTGACTTTGTTTTAGTTAGCACTAATTGATATATAATATATTACCATTTGACTATATGGTTATTTCATTGAAATATAAGTTGTTAGTTTAAACATTAATTCTTTTTAACACGCAGTTGTGTAAAAACATGATTTAAAAATTACTCTAATAGCATGTAATGCAACAAATTATGGATGGAACTGTGCTGAGCCTTGTGACTGCTTCATGGGAAACACAGAAGACTGTGACAATGTAAATGGAGCTTGTTTTTGCTATAAAGGGTGGAGTGGCACTTTTTGCAATGATGACATAGATGAGTGTGTCAATTCTAGCTACTGTCTAGGTTTACATGATATTTGTCACAACCTAAATGGTTCAGTTGAATGCCTATGCGATGTTGGTTTTGAAAGATGGTCATCAAATAACACATGCACAGGTAATACTACAAAGTATCTAGAACTGTATTCTGCAACACAGGAATAACTGTTAAGGTAAAATTAAAAAGGTACCATCACAAAGTATATACAATTTTTCATTCTACTAAAATGATAAATGTTAAAGGTAAAATTATGAAGTCTTTTGAATTTTTTAGTGTACAACTGCATTGCAAGGCTGTTAAACCTATACCAAATCACTTCTATTTCAAATTGTTGTATACAAGTTTTCTACTTGTTTACACATTCTGAAATACTTGTACTTTATTTGCCATTTTTATTATTAGTAACGTAATCAAACATGCCCATCCGTGTGGGGTAATGAAGTAGAGTTCACCTCTTTCTGAGACATCAGCATGTGGAGGGTTAGTGGTGTCATTACTAGGCCTATCCAACATTACTGTCCCTAACATGATTCAGGTACCCATCAGAGCTGGAAAAACTCAAGGAATCATACCAACTCGAGTTCATGGAATATAGGGTTAGTGTTAGGGTTAGGGTTTTAAATTTAATTTTATATATTTTATTATCTTTCCGCAATTTTTTTTTTTTTAATAGTTTTAAATCATTTTATAATTAAAAAGCAAAAAGTTAAATTAATAACATTTCTGAGTTACCCATGATTAATTTGTTTAAGTAAGATAATTATTTAGAACCTCGGACTGGCTACAAAAGTAATCAAAATATGTATAGTGACATAAATAAAGGATAAGAAATGCAAAGCAAAAAGTTAATTTAATAACATTTCTCAGTTACAAATTATAAATAATTAATTAGAAGTTCAGACTAGCTGCAATAGTAATCAAAATATCCCTTGTGACTTATATCAAGAGATGCAAAGGAAAAAGTTAATTTAATAACATTTTTGAGTTATCAATAATAAATATGTTTTTATTTCCAAAATTACTTACTTAAATAAACATTAGTTGAAAAATTGTTATACTAATCATTGCTTTAATTCACTGCTTTACAACAGAATGTAATTCAACAAGCTATGGCCCAAACTGCATAAACAAATGTAAATGTTTTTCAACAACACAGCTGATTGTAATGATACATCTGGAGCTTGTTTATGTAAAGGTGGTTGGAATGGTACAAACTGTGAATTAGATATAAATGAATGTCTAAATAAAAGCTACTGTCTTGGTGTACATGAAGAATGCAACAACTTGCCTGGCTCAGCTGAATGTTGATGTGAACTGGGATTTGAGAACAAAACAGGGGTTTGTCAAGGTGAATCAATTTTTATGTGAATGGTAGTAAGAGAAATATTAAAATTTAAAGTGTTCTTAACATTTCAGTTAATGAAACTTATAACTGAAGCTGATTTTTAATTTACCAGCTTTTAAACATATATTCACATTTTTATTCATAACTAGAATAAATGCTTAAACAATGTTAATTAAGAATTACAAGTCTACTTTAAGTACAACCACAACATTTAAAATTGGTGAAACAAAGATCTACTTTCATAAATTTTATATCTTTTGCTAGGTAGACCTTGTTGGTAGTAAGAATAATGTATTAATATATATGCAATTCTAGGTATCAGTATTTCATTTTTTTTTTACTATCTAACTTTAATATTCATAAGTTATGTGTCTCTTTAAATTCAGTTTTTTTTTAAAATTGTTTTTCAGCTTGCAACTTGACATTCTATGGCTTCTACTGTGGGAACAAGTGTTCTTGTGTCATGAACAACACAATAGACTGCAATGACACAACAGGGTCATGTCTGTGTGTATCAGGATGGACTGGTACAAAATGTGATACAGATATCAATGAATGCTTGAGTACCAGCTACTGTGTCGGTTTACATGAAAAATGTAACAATTTAAATGGGTCTGCTGAGTGCAGATGTGTGCCTGGCTATGAAAAAAAGAGTAGAACTTGTCAAGGTAAACTATAATTAGCTAATATTTTCAGATCATGTATATTCTGTTATGTAACCTCAATTGTAGAAAATAAATGATAATCTGATGAATTTATGTATATATATTTACTACTAAGCTTTAAAAATGTAATTATATATGCATTCTCATTGGTTTTATAATAGCTTTAATAACATAATTTTTATTTAATTAACAATTATTTTTAGTCAATTACCTGTATGTTTTAAACAATCTATTTATGTTTATTATGATACATATTTAATCTTGTATTTGGTAAATTTTTATCGGATAGAAAAGACTAAAAAATTTTTTAATATAATATGTTTTAAAAGAATTTAAAATTAAGAAAAATAAGTATGTCTTTTCTATTCTCCAAAAGTATGCAACAAAACACAATATGGCTTGGATTGTTCTTTGAAATGTCCTTGTGTCATGGAAAACGCCATATATTGTAATGGAACATCTGGTGCTTGTTTATGTTCTCCTGGATGGAATGGAACCAATTGTGAAAAAGATATAAATGAATGTGATGATATAAATTATTGCCCGGATCTGCATGATAGCTGTTTTAATTTAAATGGATCTGCCGAATGTAGATGTGATAATGGTTATCGAAAGCTTTCCAGTGGAAAATGTCAAGGTAAAGTTGCACTCCTATGTTAAGAAGTAAAGCACACTCTCTAACCTTATCAAGGTAAGGTGAAGTAGAATTCACTTGTTTTAGTTATCTCTGCATATTAAAGTATAGTATCTACAAATAGTGTGATTAGTAAACTAGTAAACTAATTTATATTTCAGAGGGATAAAAATGTAGACAAAATAACACAATTCATACAATTTAAAAATTTATTTTAATAATATATAATGTTAACTGCCCACATTTTATACAGTTTATTTACTTTTTCCCCTAGCTTTATGTCCTAATTGTACAGAAGCAGAAGTTTGCTTTGATGAAATAGCTGATAAATGGATCTGTAGGTAAGATATACATTACATGTGTTGCCTAATAACAACAATCAAAATAAAAACAAATTTCTACAAAGGAATAAAAAATGTATTGAAACTGATTTTAAAAATCAAAAACAACACTGTCCATTATTTAGGTGCATTTACAATTTTTTTTTTTGTTTTTAGATTTAATGATTCACGTAAGTAAAACCTCTTATTACAGTTTGAACAAATTATCAAAAGAAAAAGATTTTTTTTACTAATGAAACTATTATCATCCAGACATAATGTCTGTTGAAATCTCCAAACATAAAACACTAGTTATCATGGACAGGCAATTCAAATTTTTTTGGTAGTTATACAATATGCCCTGAATAGCTATGATAAAGTGTCTAAAAACGTCATATTTTTCTTCTATTCATAACTTTAAATTAGGGACCTATCCCTATGGTCATGTCCAAAAGGATCAATCATTGCCAAAAAATAAAGAACTGGCATCAGCTAACTTATACATTGAAGATTTCATCCCATATCAGCTAAAGTTAATTAGCTCTGTTTGGGTATGTAAGTTTAATGAAATTATTATATTATTATTATAAATTGAAATATATATTTTACTCTTTCAGACATTATTTATGCATGTCAGTCAATATCTTCACCCTTTTTATGCTATATGGGTTTCTGTTAAAATATTTTTCTAAACAGATAACAGTTAATGGTCTTATAAGTTTTGAAGAAGAGTATTCCAGCTTTAACCCACAAAAGTTGCCAGTGTTAGACAAAACTTTAAATCAGCGCAGTCTGTTGGCTGTATACTGGACTGATCTTGATGTTAACGAGGATGATAATTGTGAAGTTTACTATCAGGTAATTTATATCATTCCAGTATTGTGAAACATACTTTTTATTTATTATTTCAATTCATTATGAATTTGTTCTAATTTCGTCTTATCAAATTTTTAAATAGTTTATGTGTATATTTTATTTATACTTTTGTTGAAAATTTTAGTAGTTAAATAATTGTAAACTTAACCATGAACACACAGTTAAACCTATTATTTTCAGATGTATGATTTGTATTCTAATAACACTTTGGGCACAGCTGTTTTTACTAAAGCCAATGCAGATGTTATGGCTCTCACAGAAAATAAAAAACTACAATGCTACAACAGTAATTGTGGTTACATGGGTTAATGTACCAGCACATGGAAGTGTGGATGAGGTATTTTGATTTTAGCACACATCTTCCTTTTATTTGTCTAAATGAAAGTTCTATTTTTTTGCAAATTAGAGTATTGCTTTGCATATATGTGGCTATATAGAATGCAATATGGGATGGGCACAAAAACAATTATTATCTGCTATTGTAACTATTATTGACCAATTTCCTACACCCCATAAATTTTGCGTGTCATTGTTACATGTTTTTAAACATTTGTTTATATGCAACAAAATCTGAAATCATATTACATTGAATGTTTTTCTTGTTTCTTCATAGCGTGTCTCATTCCAATGTGTCATAATATCAGATGGACATACAACATATGCCATATACATCTATATCCAAGGTGCAATGAAATTCAAACCCTTATCAGCTAGAAATGTTGAAGTCGGTTGGGCAAATTTTAGCTTTGATACCTCACTTACAAGTTACTACAGATTTGATACAGTTTTGGGGAACACTGGTAAATAGTCTATATTACTAAAGACTCAAGATAAGTAGTAGTAAATGAGCATTGATTTTATAAAACTGGTCTATATTGATTTCATGAAAAGCACTAAATCTTTTAGACTAGAATACAATATTGTTTTTGGATTAAAATTTTTTGTGTTTTGTTACAACAGGAAAACCTGGTCTTTGGATTTTTAAAGTTGGAGAAAATAAGAATTTTAAGATGATGTGCCGAACATGGTATATCTCTAATCAAGGAGAACTGCCTAGTAAAAAATGTCTTTAAAACTATTATTTATAAGAATTTTAAGAAGATTAGCCAAACATGATTTATGTCTAATCAAGGAGAACTGCCTAGTAAAAAAAATGTCTTTAAAACTATTATTTTACACCTATATTTTTATATTTTTAGTACATGACATGATAGTCTGTTCGGTTAATTCAAATATATGATTCCAATGTTTTGAAATTATAACAAATGTTAAAAATCTTTTATGAGCAGCTATAGATCTCTGGAACAAAAACCTACTGCCTGCCTGCCCTTGTAATGAAGTTGCTGCCAAAAGTAGCCCAATCTGGGTTCCTAGCAGTCTAGCTAATTCAGACAGAAACTGCTTTGATCTATTACCATTTTTTGGAGAATATGGAAGGGTATGGCTCTAATATTTGACCTCAATTACCAAAACAATTTTTTCTGTCTTCTATACAAGCTGAAAAACTATTTTCTTTGATTTTCTTTTCTTCAGAGATGCTGCTACAAAGCTGATGAAAGTTCAAGTTTTTTAAATACAATCCCACAAGCTGGAAGTCTTCAGAGATATAATTCTTTTATTTACAAAGAACATGATCAGTTGGATGAAGACTCTAAAGACTGGTGCTGTACTAAGTCAAACTTGTGTGACCTGTACTATACTTTAAGACCAATTTTCTCATGCAATGGGAGTAACTGGGCTAGAGGTAAGATTATACAATTTGTAAAGAATTTCAAGCTTAACATTTATTGAACATATTTTACATTTTCTAATGTGAAAGTAAAACAAGTCAAAGTTTATTGAAACTGAATTCAAAATTTGTCAGTTATTGTTTTTTGTATTGACAATTTAATTATCTTTGGTCCAATATTCAGAAATGTATTTTGTTTTGTTTTTAAAAAAATATTTAAAACAGGCAAACTGCTCTTGACGAAATACATATTGTTTTTTTACTTTCTCGTATATACGAAGTATAGAGAAAGTCTTGTAATCGTGCAAAAAAAAAAAATCGAGATTTTTACAAATCTCAACGTTTTACATCTCACTGATACGGAAAAACATAATTTCGCAATCTTGTCCATATGTCTGTATGTCTGTCTGTGTGTCTGTCTGTCTGTGTGTGTGTGTGTAAACACGATAACTTGAGTACCGTTACAGCTAGGTTGATGAAATTTCATATATAAGTATTTTATCAAAATCGTAGATCCGTATTAACTTTTGAGCGATTTCCGATAACCGGAAGTGGTACTTTTCTTACTTTGAAATTTTCAAAAGCCTATAACTTGAGTACTATTTCAGATAGATAAACGAAATTTCACATATACGTAAAGATCTAATTCTCTACCTTCTGTTAAATTTTGAGTAATTTCCGTTGACCGGAAGTAGTAATTTACGCTACTTCCGATTTCTCAAAAAACTAATGTAAATTTTTAAAGTACTAATAATATTGCGCACTATTATGCACTTTTTTATTTAGCGTTCACTTGTTGTGCAATTCTTTTGTCTACGAGATTTTATTCTATTTTTAAAACTTTAAGTATTTAAAATAGATTAAAAATCATGTCTATAGCCCGAGTTTCCATCCCCTGTTATTTTATATAAAAATATTTGAGAAAGTTTAGGGGAGATCACTCCCTGATTATTTATTTATTTAAACCACTACTACACTACTTATAACACATTAAAGAAAATATTTTATTATTTTTATATAATATTTTTTTTACAAATACCATTCACAGGTTTCCTGTTTGGAGACCCCCACATAATAACCCTGGACCAAAGATCATTCATATTCAATGGACTGGGAGAATATCACTTAGTGCAAATAACAGGAACTACTAACCAGCATTTTAAATTGCAGGTAGTATAAGTATATTTTGCTTTTGTTTTCAGACTAAGAGCATTAAAGAAACTATATATAATTATCTTTTTAAAGATTTTTATATATCATAGCAAATTCTTAATGTTTTGTCCAAAAACAATTATAAATATAATATACACATTATAAATATTAAATATAAATATTGGCTAAATTTTAATGTTTATGATAGAAATTAATGTATCAATTAACATTTGAATATGCTACCTGTTTTATAATTCATTAGGGTAGAACCTGTCGTGCATTAAACAGCAATGGCAATGAAACTCTAGCCACAGTCTGGTGTGCCCTATCAATGATGAGTGGTGATGAAAATTCACTGAGAGTAGAAATCAGCCCTTCAAGGAAAAGTAAGAATAAATGTTAAATATTCTTTAATTATGTTTATACTATTTAGTAATGCAATAGTAAAATAATGTTTTATTGAAACTACAAAATATATAGTTTAATTTTATTTTTTATTTTGATTTAGTAGCTGTGTATATTGAATCAGTTTCAAATTTCAATTTGAATATGCCTTCTTCTAAAATTTGAGTCCTAAATGGATAATTATGTATTTAATTTTAGAAACGATGTAAGGAAAATTAAATGTTGCTCTTTCTGTATATATTCAATTGCTATGGGTTTATCCTGGGGGCTGTTGAAACTTCCAGTAAGCTCACTTAAAACTTCAAGAGGTGGGACAATTGAAACTTCCAAGGGGGTTACTTGAAACTACCAGGGGGGGGGGGATTACTTCAAAATTCCAGGAAAAGACACTGGTTAAAGTATACTTTTTCTAGTTTAGCTGATATATAAGCAAAATAAAATGTTGAATTAATAATTAATGTATGGTATACTGTGGTGTAAAATGGGTCATTGGTAGAATACGTTTTATAATGATAGGTATTATTTACTGCCATATGAACTGAGACACATGCAGGATGAGTTCTGGTAAAATAATGTATTCAACTGCCACAAAAAATTTCAACAACATCAGTATAACAGATTTTAAAGTAATAATAAAATTGCAGTATTTAGTAACAGCAACAGTTATTAGTAAAAATTTAATAACCAGGACTACATGACAATTCATTGCACACAGGTTACTGCCTGTAATAAAATTATAAGTTACTTTTAAAAAACAAGGTAGATTACAAGATTAGATAATAAGTTTATCAAACTTAAAATCACTTTAATAATAAAATATGAGTATAAATCAATATAGTAAATTTAAAAAAATATATATTTAAGCTCATGCTAACTGTTCCTAATGGGCTAAATCCTCAGTGCTAAAACCAGCAGAGCTAGTAAAAGTCAGTTTACATAATTAGAAAAAATGGTTGGTCGGGGGCCATATCTAGGATATCAATATGATACCTTTACTGTAACAGGTCCTCTCTTCCCCCTCCCCCCCCCCCCCCCAGGAGAGACACCTGAAAAGAAACACTGCTACTTTCTGTAAAGTGAATACTTTATTGAACAAATATTGTTAATTTAAATATGTACATCTATATACAAAATTTAAATTACTAATTTTATTATTCTTTTTTCAGTTATGATAATATATGCTAATAAAAGAGATTATACAACAGAATACTTAAGTAACCCTAATTTTTTTACAAATGATAATAAAATGATATTAAGAAAACAAAATGGGGCTTTAGAAGTGTCTCTTCCAGAAAGTAAGTTGCTTTTATTTTATATAATTAACTTTTTGCTTCATCTATAAGTTTGTATGTCTGTGTTGTTGTGAGCATTAACCTATCCTGTTGTATTGCTTTTAAAGAACTTCTTTTTACTGTGACTTAAAGAGATTCAGTATCTCTTAACCAACTACTATGAAAGATGCATAATCACACTGATACAGCATTAAAAGGGATAGGAAATTGTTTTAATTAATTCTTACTAAAGCTTGTGATTTCTAAGAAGGTTGAATTAGTAGTTGACAATATATTTGAGCTATGTAATGGCTTTCATAGAATTGTAAAATTCTTCTTAATACTTAGATACATATCTAATTGTATGTAATATAATATAACATTGAAAATTGTGCAAGTGTTGACTTCGAAATTATTTTAAAAACATTGAAGTTCAAACATTTACTACTTCTGAAATCAATATTGCCAATAATTAGAGAGAGGTGTATATGTAGAAGGTATAAATGTAAATGTAAATGTAAATGTGAATGTGAATGTGAATGTGAATGCGAATGCGAACGCGAATGCGAATGTGAATGTACATGCACATGCACATGCACATGCAGATGTAGATGTAGATGTAGATGTAAATATATTAGTATATGTGGATATGGATATGGATGTAGACCAGGGGTCTCCAAACTTTTCAGTCCGAGGGCCGCATTAACTATCAAATTTCAGATCGAGGGCCAGTTTCTTCCAGGCATGTCTTTGATTTTTCTAAGCAAAGTTCCTCAGCCATCAGCAACAAACGTTTTTTCCGTGGACAAAAAGATCTCCGCGGGCCGGATGAGAGGACATCGCGGGCCGCATCCGGCCGGCGGGCCGTAGTTTGGAGACCCCTGATGTAGACAATACTTAATACTTTGTCTATTTATAAAAATTAATTTCAACACTTATTGCAGGTATTGGGATGACTGTTACTCTGGTAAATGAATTACTAGAATTTTCCCTCATGCTGGACAAAAAATATCAGAAAATGATCGCCGGTCTTTTAGGCAATTTTAATGGAGACAGAACTGATGATTTTATTTGCCCAAATGGAACACAACTCTCTGACGATGCAAGTGAAAAACAATTATATGAGTATGGAAAGCTATGTGAGTATACTATGTATTTTGTATATTTTAAAATACCATTAGTTACTAGCTCTGAAAATCTTTTAATATGGTTCACATAATATTTTTTCGTTTGTTTATTTGGTTTGGTGTTTGAATTTTTCTGCTCTATGTTTAATAAGACATATGATAAAAAAATATCATGTATGTATTTAACTCTTCCAAACTATATATATTTTTCTAGCATACCAAAATAATATTTTTCCAACTAGAAAATTAACAATAAAAAACATATCTCTCCATTGGTTTTTATTTTATTTTCAGGGGCGATAACTCAGAATGAAAGCTTATTCCAGTACAACTATGGACAAAGCACAAGTACTTTTTCTAACCCAAATTTTACCCCTTTATTTTATGATGAACAAAATCCTACAAAAATAGCAGAAGCTGAAAAGATTTGTAATGGTTCAGGAAATCTTCCTTGTACTTTTGACTTCGTTGCTACACAAAATGAAAAAATTGCTGAAACTTCATTAATGTCTTCAGATCAATTTGAAAAAGTTTCAATTAGCACAGGTAAATGCAAAAACTACACCGTGAGATTATAATTTGTAAGTTACTGATTCCAAACACATTTAAATGCATTTAAGATTTGTTGAAATTTACCAAAAATATAAACACAACACATAATTTTTTGCTGATTTAATCAAAGAAAAAAGCTTATTATTATTTGATCAAAAGCATTCTGCAAGTTGCTAAACATTGAAATATATAAGAAAAATTGAGAAAAAAAATTATAATTTAAATTGCAAAATTTAAAAAAAGCAACCCTATTTGCACTTTAATAAAAATTTGTTAAAATGATAAAGCTTATACAAACTTTGCTCTATTTTAATCTTCAGCAAATCAAGCCCCAAATATTATGGTCAACACAACACAAGTTAGGGCCACCGTGAATCAATCTTTCAGCCTAACTTTAACAGCTTTTGATCCTGATGGTCAAGATGTTACTGTTGTTTTAATGACCAATGCTAATTACACTGTTAAAACTATTAATAAGAGAGATACATCAAAAGCTGTTGCATCAACTTATTCAATTATATTATCTGACACTGAAACTCAGATCATGTAAGCATACTTGATAATAAAAGTCTACTTGTAATAATTATTTCTTTAATATTATATGTTACATATTTTACAAAAGGTATGTTTTGTTTTAAGAAACTTTTTTTGTTTTCTATTGCTTAAAATCCAGATTTTCATCATTTGATAATAAAGGTCTGCATTCAGAAATGGTATCAATCAATATTTCTGTATGTAGTGGATGTAGCTATTGTGGTACTTGTGATGAAGCAAGGCTTAGACCAACATTAAACCCATATTTTTATTGGGAAGCATGTAACTGTTACATTGGATTTACAGGTTCCTTTTAATTAATTACAATTTATAGTACAAATAGTTATAAATTATTTTTATTTTATACTGGTTTATTTGTTTGGGATTTCAAACTTTTTAAAAATATACTGTTAACTAAGTAAAATTGAGTTTATCGTTTGTAGTTATGACAAAGAACAGATGCATTTATTTTTAAATGAAAAATTTTATATTTATTATAGAAGAATATAGTTATTGTACTTTTGTGAAATCTAACACACCACTTCTATGTAGGCAAAAAAAAAACACAATTTGACAGACTTCAATTATGTATTGGGGACTATGATCATGCAATAAGTACAATTATTTAACATATTTTATTTTTTGTCTTACAATGTGATACTTATTTTTAATAATTTTTTAAAATATATTATTCTGCCTAACCAATGATGCTTTATTTCTGCATGTTTCAGTGTAATGGTAAAATATGCTAAGGCTTATAGTATTCCAACTCTGTCTTAATAAAAACTAGAATAGACTTTCAGCTATTAATGCAACCAATAGGTACTGACTGTGAAAAAGACAATGATGGCTGTGCTACAAATCCTTGCCCCAACATGACAGGTTGTTTAGACATACCAGCTTCAGAAGAACAAATCACTGGTTTATCATACACATGTACAAATTGTCCTCTTGGTTATCAACTGAATTCTAAAAAAACCAAGTGTGAAGGTTGGTTTATTTTAATTATTCTGTGTTATATTTATCAAAGATATTTAGAGTTCCATTGCATTTGTTGTTTTGTTATTTGTTTAATATTTTAAATTCTCACTTCATGATTTGTTCAAAGACGTTGATGAATGTAAAAACACCCCATCTTGTGGTGCATATGCTACATGCGAGGATACTTATGGTAGTTTTGTTTGTAACTGCCCAAAAGGCTTTCGAAAATCTGGATCACTAAATTGTGTTGGTAAGTATTAAACATTTTAATGTATAGCTATATTTGTACTGCTATATTAGATTAAAACTACATTGTTTAATATTTACACTGACATTACAATGATATCTTTTATGTATTTTACATATTATGAAAATTTTTTATTAAGCTTAAAAACATTAAATTGCTTCTAGGTAAATTTAAATAATATACCCACAGACATCAACGAATGCTCAGAGAAATCACATGACTGTGATCAAATATGTGTTAACAACTTAGGAAGTCATGATTGCAGATGTTACCCAGGGTTTGCTAGGACTGGTGGCAAATGTGAACTGACAGAAAAGGGTATTTAAAAAAAAAAAATAACTGTGTTAAATGTTTAATTGTATTATGAAATATCATTAATAATAGCAATCATCTACTTTTCTAATGATAGAACCATGTAAATTAATCAACAAGTCATGTGAATACAGTTGTCGAAATGGCAGTAAGGGAGCAGAATGTTTTTGTGCATCAGGGTACAAATTAAAAGCAAACAACTATTCTTGTGAAGGTATTTTATTTTTTTCAAAGTATACATGCACGACATACATCAATATAAATAATTCATTTTATTTTTAAACCTAAACTGTGAATATATATTAGTTTTGTTTAATTTTGTCTCAGATATAGATGAATGCAAAGAGAAAATCTGTTCACAAGTTTGTATCAACACAAACGGAAGTTTCAGCTGTTCATGTTACTCTGGATATACTCTTAACAAGAATGATTTGCGCTCTTGTGACAGTATGTAGTTATAACTATTTAAAAATGTATATGTAGCCTACAGCTTTGTTAGATGTGTTTCACCAGAAATGCATGATTTACAATAATTTTAAAATGAATTATATAAAAAAAATAGTTTTACAAACATGACACTCCAGTATTTTAATTGTATTTTTACTAAAACTTTTCAGCCAGTGTACTATCTTCTATAAAAATAATGCAGCTATATTTAATTAAACATCCATTTAGTGTTGTTTTTACCAATATACCTCACTAAAAGTCTGTCTTATAAAACAGTGGTCCTTGTTATGATGCATGTTTGACTTGGGAGATCGGTGCGCAGGATTAATGGTGCGGCCGTATATTGAACGAGTGAGTGTGTGACGCTGTACGCAAGAAAGTGACGTTTTAGTGTGAGTTCGTTGTTGCCAGGGAAGAAGATTGAAGTTAGTCTTGTCCGTGTTATGTTAGAGTTAGGTTGTCTAGTTGTAGTATCGTTTATCCAAGCTGTCCGATGTCCATTTCTTATTGTGCAATAAATAGAGTTAGTAGCCGATGTCATTCTGTCAAATCCTTCGTAAGCGTTGATGTCGTCGTGTCTCAAGATATACTGTAGCATAGCTAAACATAATCAAATGGTAGTGATATGGAAAGATGGTATTGGATCAGGTAGTTGTACCCTCTCACTGCATAACTGTGGTACACATATAGAACCCAGTTATAACATGGTGGAGCAGTATTAACGTGAATCAGCTATAGTAACATGAAGCAGCATAACAACGTGAAGCAGCTAGAACAGCTTGAAGAAGTATAACAAGGTGAAGTAGCTTCAAAGCACATAGAAGCTAGTCGGCGGATATAACATCTAGTCAGAAAACGCTATCACTGTCTAATCAGTCAAGTTTCATCGATATAATTTTCGTATGGACTATGTCTTTGTGATATATGGACTATTATTGTGAAAATCGTGTGTGAAAACCCATGCTAAGAAGACTCGTGTGTGAAGACCCGTGCTAAGAAGACTCGTGTGTGAAGACCCGTGCTCTGATGACCCATGCCGTTATGACCCTTGCTGTGACTAACCGTGTTGGGAGGACCCATGCCATGAAGAACCGTGTGGGGAGAACATTTGATGACCCGTGCTGTGAGGACCCTGACGTTAAGACCATGCTGGGAGGATCTGTGTTGTGAAGGACAAGGGGATCTGTGTGGGAAGTGTGTGTTGTGCGATGAAGCCGACGATGATGCCCAAGTTCTACAAATTAGATAAGTAGTACCTCTTCATATATTTTTTAAGTAGTAGGCATGTACATTTTTTTCTATTACGTCTTAGTGAAGAAAAAAAATATAGTGATTAAGCAGGGGCTGTAGGTATTGTGAGCCCATTGCTGTGTTATGCTAATGAGGGTTGTTGTATGATAAGTAAGAGATCAGTATAGTGATAATTGATATTGTTATAGTTAATGTAGACACGCCGGTTTGAGGGCGGTGTTATGTTGTTGACAAGATGATGTCACTATGATCTGGATTTGATTTATTATAATGATATGATTTTCAATTTATTATATGTGATGATATGTTATCCTATGAGGTTTGTTTTCTTAACGTAAGGAACCCAGTAGATTAGGATAATGTTGTTTTAAGATAATTTGGTGTCGTCACCCGGCCAGCAGGGGGATAGTTCGTTGGTCGGTTGCTTCATCGGTAGTTAGTTGATTTCAAGACTGAGGATGCAGTCAGATTTTTTTTTGTGTGGGTAGCTCGAGGATGTACCGAGTACCTGGACATGGATTTAAGGGTTCTAGGGAAAATATTCCTCTATGTGATATCGTATTTGGTTACTGAAGATGTTAAGAAGTATTATTGGTACATGTCATTGTAACAGGAGATGAATATATGCAGGTGATAAAGTGATTTATGAAATTTGATGTGGTTACTTAATTACTTAGTACTAAATTAACGCGTGAGATGTGATTTATTATATAAATAATGTAGCGTAGTTAACAGAAGAGGTACTACATTAGATTAAGTCTAATACATTAGGTTAGAGAGACTATGTTAGATAATGATAACCGAGTAGTAGTGACATGTTGTTTTCCGTTAGAAATAATTTCTTTTCAGTACAACTGAGGTGATGTTTGGGTCGACATTGTATGGAATCCTGGCCTTTACGTGAAGTGTGATTGTAGGATGTGTACCCAACTGGTGATCTGAGATGTATACTTTGCAGAATCGTCAAAATATGTTTGTGCGCGCGGAGACATGAACTGAACTGGAACTTCAAGAATTAGTTAAAATTGTCTAGTCTTTAAGGTCTATGTGTGAATGCTACCATAGTTGCCATTGTTAGGTAAAACAGAATGTTGTATTATTGAAGTAATAAATAAAGCTAATGTGATTAGCTTAAATGGAGAGGGGGGTAATGTTATGATGCATGTTTGACTTGGGAAATCGGTGCGCAGGATTGATGGTGCGGCCGTATATTGAACGAGTGAGTGTGTGACGCTGTACGCAAGAAAGTGACGTTTTAGTGTGAGTTCGTTGTTGCCAGGGAAGAAGATTGAAGTTAGTCTTGTCCGTGTTATGTTAGAGTTAGGTTGTCTAGTTGTAGTATCGTTTATCCAAGCTGTCCGATGTCCATTTCTTATTGTGCAATAAATAGAGTTAGTAACCGATGTCATTCTGTCAAATCCTTCGTAAGCGTTGATGTCGTCGTGTCTCAAGATATACTGTAGCATAGCTAAACATAATCAAATGGTAGTGATATGGAAAGATGGTATTGGATCAGGTAGTTGTACCCTCTCACTGCATAACTGTGGTACACATATAGAACACAGCAGTTATAACAGTCCTCACTACCTATCCAAAATTGTCAGTATTTTCATTTTTTATTGTACTTTTATTAAAGGCAAGATATAAATTTTATATTTCCTGCAAAAGCCAAATGTGGCATAATAGAGTAGTAATTTTTTCCAACTGGTGCTCTTATTAAATGGAAATTTAACAACCGTTAATGATATAATTTTTTGGTTTAGTAAAAAAAATGTTATTCAACTTAAAACAGTAACTCCAGTACATTTACTTTTAATTAAACTCATTAAATAATTTTTTTTTTTAAACTTAAATTATAAAAATTATAATAATTATTGTGAGGATTATTTTAAAAAGCTGTATTTTTTTTATTTTTTTCAAGAATATTTGGAACAATTTGTTTTAAACTGTAGATTTTAATACTATTTAATGAAATATTCATTTGACTAGCTTAAGCATTTTAATTTCTAATAAGTTCATTTCAGTTATCTTTTATAAGTTGTTTTTTGTTTCCAGCATGTCAAGGCAACACCTATGGCTATAACTGCAACTCCAGATGCCAGTGTAAAGGACGGGGTGTAAGATGTGACAATGTTAAAGGCTATATCTGTCAGAGCAATTGGAAAGGAGAATCATGTGAAACAGATGTGGATGAATGTGCTATAAAACCTAATGTCTGTCCTGTGGATCATAAATGTACAAATACAGAAGGCTTTTATACTTGTGATTGTCCTGTGGGTTACGAAGCTATCAATGGAACATGCTTTAGTATGTATATTTTTTTGTTCTAATATTTTGATAATCTATTTAAATATTTAAATATTAAATTTCCAATAAACCAGTGAGTCAAAAGGAAAATAGAATGTTGTATACTCTTTTCTACCATGCTATCCAGTGTTTCTTCCAGACCTTTTGCTCTGGGGGTAGTGGGGTGGGGAACACTGTTAAAAAGGATATTTTCTATAGCAATTCTATTTTGTTTGGGGGAGGGGGGGTGGTAGACTCACTTCGGGGGTGGTCCCCCCCCCCAAAAAAAAAAATAGATGCCTGGAAGAAACACTGATGCTAATTACACTTCAGTTATAATTTTATATGCTGTTTTATTCTACTTTCAAAGTACTTATTTCTTTAAGCAATTAAATGAAATAAAATAAAAATATTACATACATTAAAATAAAATACATTTTAAACTGCCTAATGTGTGTCTCAATTAAGCTTCACTTTCACTACTCAGCAATTGCATCACATAATCTTTACTAATGAATTTGTACATTTGTACTGATTTAAACATAAAAACAAAACTCTTTTACTTGACACTTGGTTTGGTATATTTTATTAATATGCTTGTTTATAGCAGTTGCTGTTTTAAAAATAGTTGATTAAAACTATTAAATGGCTTACATTTTTTAAAACTAGAAATTAATGAATATAAAGAAAGAAAAACCTACTTCTGTATTTGTTGATCAAAAACATAAAAAGACTTACTTTTTAACAAACCAGATATTAATGAGTGTGAAACAAGAAACATTTGTCCTCAAACATGCATTGATACACCAGGGTCATTTATTTGTGAGTGTAGAGATGGATTTTTAAAGCTTCCTAATGGCACTTGTAAAGGTAACTTTAAGTCTTTATGTATTGTTTCTGTTGTATGTAAACCTGATAATCATTTAATAAATCATTTTAATTAAATGAATATTTAACTAACAAAAACAGTTTTCTTCCCAACAGATATTAATGAATGTGAAACTGACAAATCGGGCTGTGAACAAAAATGCATTAATGTCCCTGGAAGTAGCAACTGTGACTGTTATCCAGGCTACAGGTTAAAAGATGACAGGAAGACTTGTGAAAAAGATGGTATGTTACGGCATGCATTTTCTTTAAAATTATGTTCACAATTATAATATAAAATAATAACAATTTCATATAGCTACTGCAACCAACCATAACTTTAGTGAATTTTTATGTTTCAAATTTATACTGCCTTCAATAATAAAATATATGTCAAAATAATTTTTAAAAATGTCAAAGGGTATTTGTTATTATAAGTTTTAACAGTGTGTACAATTTAATTGATATTGTAGATGTTGATCCATGTGAAAACTTTTACCTGAACTGCAGTCAAGGATGTACTGTAACTAATGACACAGCACAGTGTTTTTGTGCTATAGGTTACATGCTGAGTAATAACCAGTTTGACTGTCTAGGTAAGCCATGCTGTCTTGTATATATTATACATATTGCATTACAGCATTTGATAAAATTACTCATTCTTTTACTCTTTATTAAAGTTGTATAACTTCTGTTTTAGAAGTAAATATCACATTAAAGAGCATCCTATTAAATGTTTTTTTATTTGTTATGATCTAATAAAGATATTGATGAATGTGCAACACAGAAACAATGCAATGGCACCTGTTTTAACACTCCAGGGTCATACAATTGTTCTTGTCCAGTTGGATATAAACTACAGAATGATAAGAAAACCTGTCAAGGTATTTATGTCTGTATATATAAATATATATATAAATAGATAAATATATATATATATATATATATATATATATATATATATATATATATATATATATATATATATATATATATATATATATATATATATATGCGTGTGTATGTATTTGTAAAATTCATAATTTTAATTCATATTATACATATTGCTTAGCCATATTACAAAAAAAAATCTTCTTGCAAATTACATTTTTGTGTTCATTCTTTTCTACAAATAATAAGCTTACTAAAATCTGATGCATATTTATCAATTCTATTAAGAACATATTGTACTATTTTTATTAAACTTGCAATTTAAAACTTGAGATGCTTAAACTTATTTTAGAATGTGATGCCTATCACTGGGGAGAGAACTGTGCCACAGATTGTAACTGCAGCACAAGAGGTACATCAAGATGTGACCCCACGCAAGGATGTCAGTGTAAAGCTGGCTGGGCAGGAACTTGGTGCCAGGATGATATTGATGAATGCTCAAGTCTTGTACCACCATGTCCTGTAACATCAAGTTGTGTCAACACATTTGGCTCTTTTTATTGCCAGTGTAAAGAGGGATATTCATTTGTTAACAATACTTGTACAGGTAGTTATATTTTGTTTATTTATGTGTTCAGGTATTTTAGTTTTGTTATTATTGTAGTAGTTTTATTTATGTTGCAGATTTTTATTGCAGATTTTTTTTTGTAAATCATGTGTGTTGTTCAAGACATAAAAACTTATATTTAAACATATAAATCTGTTATTAGATATCAATGAATGTTTGAGTTCCCCATGTGACCAGATCTGCACCAACACACAAGGCAGCTTCCAGTGCTCTTGTTATTCTCAAGGTTTTATTTTTAATGGAACACAATGCAATGGTAGATATATTTGCTTTCATACTTTAATAATTTTAATTTTTTAGCACAATTTCCATTCTGGAGAATTGCGTTTATTAACCCGTCATTTCTGGATGTATGAATGAATGAATGAATGGATGGATGGATGTGTGTCCGCAGCTTTAAGTCGTATCTCCTCCTCAACGAAGCAATATCGAGGACTAGTTTCAAAAGCAATTATGTTAAGCAAGTTACGAGGATGAACATAGGCCAAAACAATTCCGGGTTTCTTCCATGGGTTTCCCCGAAAAGCCAAAAAACCTCGAAAAAATGCAGTTTTTGGCCCATATCTCGGCAACCAGACCACTTAGCGACTTGAAACATGTACCAATCGATTCCTGCCATAATTTAGAACAATATTGTCGAAGAAAGTTTTCAAAAATATCATTTCGATCGGTCACAAATTTTTTTTTTAATTAATTAAAATTTGGACCGAATTAGTAGGCATTTTTATCCAACCACACCACACGCGTCATCACGTTCAATAGCTGCGCCATCACGTTCAATGGCTGCGACATCATGTGCGGTAGCTTGGCGCGCAATGGTTTTTAGTCATGTAAATCTATTGTAAATAAAACATGTAAAATACTGAAAAAAAAATTAATAAAAAACGTTTTAATAACTAACCAATGGTTTTACTAACCCTGCTCTTGATTTACGCTACGACAGAGCTATTTTTAGATAACATAAGGAAATTGCGCTTAAATGTCACTAGACTTTTTAATTAACTTGTTTATTACAAAATGTTCAGTTTACATAAAAAGGTACACTAAAATTTTGATTTAACTTTTGTAATATATTTTCTAATTTAATTCTTTATTTTCAATAGATATAAATGAATGTGCTGTAAAAGAGTTAAATAAATGTGACCAGGAATGTCGAAACACACTTGGTGGATTTGCTTGTGAATGTTACGAAGGATATGAATTAAATGGAACAACTGGAAATACTTGTATTAAGTTTTCAATATATTATACAACTTTTTAAAATTTAAATTGTTTATAATTATTTATCATTGCAAATTCATTTACATGTATACATAATTGTAGTAAAAAATAACATTTTTTAGTAAAAAATAACATTTTGCTTGCCAGATCATGTAATGTTAACAGATATTACATTTTTAAAATCATCTTTAATATGATAATAAAGTATTATTCTTATAATTTGTTGTAAAGAAATTGACATGTAGAAATTGTTTGGTAAAATTTAAGTTAGCAGCCTAAATCAGAAGTGTCCTGCATCAAACAGCTGTCAACAGTTGTGTGTACTAGTAAATAATACCCAGATCTGTTCATGTTTTTCTGGATACAGCATGATTAATAATTCCTGTGTTGGTATGTTCTTTTCTTTGCTTCCTTTGTTTTTAAAAATGTAAAATGTACTACTATAAACTGATGATTGTTCGGGTATTGTACTAATATGTATAGAATTGTTTAAAAAAGTGGAAATGTTATTTCTAAACTTTACGAAATTCAAGTGAACAAGGAACTACATGAGCTTCTGTTATTTGTTGTTTTTTTTTATATATAAATGAATGTGAAAATAACCCTTGTGTTGGTGGTGAATGTATTAATAGTAATGGATTATTTTCATGTTCCTGCCAAAACAAGACAGAACTTTTAGAAGACAAAAAAACTTGCAGAGGTAAATTGAGTTATTTGGTGATTCATTTGTACTGCTTAATCAAAAATTTCAAGGCATGGTATTTTGTATTTATCATTACTAATAATGATGTTATAAAAAGCATTGCCTGTTTCATTTTATCTCTACAGCTTGCCAATATGGCTTCTATGGCCCCAACTGTGCTGAAAATTGTACCTGCAACACTACCAACACCAAACCACAAATCTGTTTTATTGAAAATGGAAATTGTGATTGTTTAAAAGGCTGGTCTGGTCCAGACTGCAGTACTGATATTGATGAATGTAGTACAAGTGATGTATGTTCAGTCAATGCCGAGTGTGTCAACGCACCTGGTTCTTATAGATGTGTCTGCAAAATTGGCTTCTATAGTTCCACTACTGGCTGTTTGTGTAAGTTAAAATGTATCTACTTTTACTGTTTTATTGTTTGTAGACAAAATGCAAATTACAAGTCTTTTTATGCAAAAAAATGAAGTCAGCAGCTATGAATACAATAAGTAAAGTATTATATACCCCGATTAAAAAATGCAAACTCTTGTTGAAATAATAGTTATTAATAAATACATTTTGTAATTTTTTTGGGCACACTTTTTGAGGTGCCTTGAAGTTTAAAAAAAAAACAGAATGACTTAGATAGCCCTAACACTTATTAATATTTCCTACACAATGAGTATCTGACCTCAATCTGTTCAGTTTAGTGGTATCATTTTTCATTTAACATTCTTCCATTTCATTCAGACATTTCTGTTTTTTGTCAAATGACCATAGCTCGATATAAGCGATTACTCATTATTTTTCTGCTTTCATTTTTATAAAATAGTACAGAATGTGATATTCCTTACAAGTGGTGGTCTACATTTTATTTTAGCATGTGATGAGAACCACTATGGCCAGGACTGTAAGAAGATTTGTACATGTGTAAAAGACAACAGCAATAACTGCAATGCTGTCAATGGAACTTGCACATGTAAACCAGGCTGGACTGGCTCTAACTGTGAAACAGATATAGACGAGTGTTTGAACACCAGCTACTGCCCAGATGTACATGAGAGCTGTTTTAATTTGAATGGATCTGCAGAGTGTAGATGTGATTCAGGATATCAAAGAGTTGATGGATCTGACTGCCAAGGTGTGTACTAACAAGTAAAATGTCAAAAATTCTTAGCTAGTCTCTGGATATAGGCCCACACTACAACATGTCATTAGAATTAAGTAAGAAAGTGAAAAATTCAAGCAATCAATGATATGTTGTCTCAAAAATTAAAATTCACTAAATTTTATCAACTTTTATCTCAAACTTCTGTTGTTTTAAAGCACCACTTTATTTTTAAATAATTATTACTTATGAAATATAATTATACTTAATCCATACATTATTGTTCCCCGAATTTTCCGGATTGTTTGTCTAATTTTGAAACAAAAATTATACAAGATTCTTTATATAAGAATCACCAACTCTTGGACAGTTATAACGGATCAAATGAAATGTTTTGTAAAATAAAAATAATATAAAATTTGAGGGTGTTACTTTAAAAACAAATTTTAAATATTTTTAAACCATAGATTTTAAAAGAGATGCATGTGTTTTATGTTAATAAGTAGCTACAAGCAACTAAAATATAAGTAACAACCTTCAAATATTTTCAGTGTAATCACTGAATTTCTAATTGTACTAAATGACAAAATCTGTGTAATATGGTCATATTGTTCTGTTTTCAGACAGAGATGAATGTCTAGATCCCACCTACTCTTGTGATGAGACAAAACAATGTAAAAACACACAAGGCTCATATGATTGTGTATGTAAACAAGGTTATCTAATTGTCAACAATACGAAGCCCTGTAAAGGTTAGTTTAAACCTTTTTCCAAAAATTGCATTTACATGCATAACTTTTAGGGGTAAAGACTTGAAATAATTTATTTCTCCAAAAACAGTTTATTATTACTTAATGAATAATTTATACAATCTTATTTTAATTGTTTGTATATTATCACATTATCTTATATCTTCTTCAGTGAATTTTCGCAGTTTCCCAATGCAGCTGAGATTGAATATTGTACCTGATGGAAATGTTTTTATTTACAACACAAAACAGTTTATCTCTCTTAAATTAAATATTGAAGATAGTGTAAGACTGTTTATAATGTTTTATTGTTATTTGTCGTAAAATATTACACTAAATACATATGTTGTCTTCCATTAATAAAGGCCCAATTATTGTATCATTACCACTACTATCACATCTTTCCTACTAAACCATTAAATGTCACGAGAAGCTAGACACTGCCCCTAAAGTTTAATCACACTTCAGCAGCAACTACCCCTCCCCCCTATCCCCACCACTTCCAATAGGCAATAAAAATTATAATTGTTTTAATTTTGTTTTTTTAATGACACATTTTTGTCTTTTGAAAATGTGTTTTGTTTTGTAAAATTATTCCATGAGCTTTGCCATTAACAAGATCATTAATCACTTTTTTATAATAGAAATTAAAGGCAAAAAAACTGCTAAAATTCCATTTCAAAATTTAAGTGTTCGAAATGCAAAAGTATAATGTCGAACTTTCTGAACCCTTCCCCATGCATTCTTCTTCATTGCACATGTTCATACAAGTCTGACCATCCCCACGCTTATATTTATAAATGTGTTTTATTTATGGACCTCCTGTATGCTAGAAAAGTATTATAAACATTATATTATTTAAAATAAATAAAACTATTTCAGTTAAACAAGTTAGGTGGAGATAAAGTGGGAAAAGAAATTCTTCCATTTGTGATTTCAAAGTTCTCGTAAGTATAATAATATCAACTGTAATGTTGAATGAACACTTTTCAAACCTATCAGTGTCAATAATAATAAACCCACCATATTCTCGCATTGTTTTTATTTTTATTCTCTGATGAGCACTTGATACTATACAAAACTGAACTTGTCAACAATACAACGTGTATAGTCATTTCACTTTAGTTTGATAATAATCTAGAAAATCATCATAATACTAATTCAATTTTTTTTTACCGATTATGATTTTGTAATCATTTACAGGGATGGATCTATCATAGTTCATACAGCCATTGTGGTAGACCTGAATTATACCAGCACTCCTGCATATTCTGCATCAAAGTTTGCCATCAGTTTAAAAAATAATCAAAATATAACTGTTGGTTCTGACATCATAGAAATCATGAATGTTTTAGTACAAAACCAATCAAGTTAGTTATAATTTCAAATTATAAATAAAATTGTTGAAGCCTTCAAATAATGTCAGCTTGCCATTTCTGTTTTGTTACACAGCTAGAAGATATATTAATAAAATATTTTACAGATATGTTTTTTCTAGTAGCATTAGGCTGTTTTTAATCCACCTACCATTCATAATATAAACAATATATATCTGCATTATTAATATAGTTCACATAAAAAAAAGTTATGATTCTCAGTATGTGAAGGGAATGTGTGGTCAGCACTTTCCCCAGTAGCCTTTACTTTCCTTAACATAAGTTAGTTACCAATGAGAGCTGGGTAGACTAAGAGAAGTTCTACAGCCTGGGACCCAATTCAAACTCGAGACTTATGGGTTAGCAGTCTAGCACTCTACTGCTTAGGCCACGTAGTCCCCCAGTTCACATAGTAACCAATCTTAATAATTCCTGAAAATATTTTCAATTGCACATACCTATAATAGATTGACGACAGAAGCCTGTGGTTGTATATAACACGTTTAATTGGGTCTAACTACCTCATGGTAACGCACAGAGAGGACGGAAGGAAGTACACAAGGGACATCACTCAAGATAACAATATTATAAATATAACTAATACAGAAGAGTGAGTTCCCTTGACCTCACAATTATTTCAATCTATTACATCCCTTTACCCTTAGAACACAATAACACATCTCTCAATAGAACAATTGATAGTATCCTAAAATCACCAATTATATTGTAACATGAACACTATGGTAGATTACATCCTTACAAACAATGCACAATATGCTACAACATAATCAAAATACAAAACAATAATGTCAAAGTCCTTTTGACCTTTAGAATCATAGGTCTAACTTATTTGGGACTTTGATTGTCCTGCTTGACCTTCTCAGTGGCTTCTGATTTGGTGACTCAAGATTCTGACCATCTGGATTCTCTATCTCAGGAGGTCTAGGATTTAAATCATTAACTCCAGAATTTACATTTTCTGACTCCAGACAACTTGGTTCACTCATATCAACAGAACTTGGTTGTGGAACAACTGAGTTGGTGTGAACTGTTCAGATTTGGTGGGATTGACAGATTCACACTTATTATCTGCACAAGTTATTTTCAACTGGTCTGCATGTCTACGGACAATAAGTCCATCATTTGTTTTTACTTTATAAGACACAGGTCCTGTACATTGAACAATTTGACCTGGTATCCATTTTTCCTTTCTCCCATAATTTCTTAGATACACATTCTCATTAACACCAAATTCTCTTTCAATGAATGTTTGTCATGATTTAATGGAACTATTTTTGAATTGGCATCTGAAAGTATTATGCTGTTATTCAGATCCTTAACTGACATAGATTTCTTTGATTGATCAATTTCCTCATGTAATCTGATAGTGCTTTTTGGTAACCAAAAATACTGTTTATGAGTAATATTCTGGACCATATCACTTTGCAACTGTGATCCAGTATTTGAAGTGGGTGTATTAAATGGCAAAAATCTTTTTCTTCTTTTGATGTTACCCTTTTAGTTTCTGTAAGTGCTAATGATGTTAGCAAAGTTGTTTGATGATCACATTCTTTCTTACTAATGTATTTGAAATTGCCATATCACCATAATCATTTATTAAGTTACAAATACTTTGTTTAGGCAACTCTGACTGATAATGGACTGCATCTTCTCCATCTTTTATATTATCTTCACAAAGGGTTTTATTTCTTATTTTATATGGCTTTTAGTCATCATTCACAGACTCTTCAGGCCAACCATTCTTACAGTATTCATATACTTTTATTAAGCACTCATCTTTTTGTGTTTCTCTTTTAATATCATTCACATTTATATTGGAGTTATCCATGATAGTGAAGAGAACAAATACATCTTCTGGTACATAGCTCAGGCTTTGGTTTTTTAAAGGTAATCTACTAAGACTATCTGCACTATTCTCAGATCCAGGTTTGTATTTCAATTCATAATTGTATGCAGTTAGTGTGATAGCCCATCTTTGAATTCTTGGTGAGGCATGCTCAGGTAGGGTTTTGTTTTCTCCAAATAAACCTAGCAATGGTTTATGATCTGTAAAGATGGTGAACTTCCTACCAAACAGAAACTTATGAAATTTCTTAACACCAAAAATGATGCCTAAGCCTTCCCTATCTAACTGAGAATAATTTTTCTCAGCCTGGTTCAAAGATCTACTGGCAAAAGCAATGGGTCTGTCACCCTTCTCATCCATGTGGGACAAGACTGCTCCTACACCATCTGGTGAAGCATCACATGTTAATATAAGTCTTTTCCCTGGGTCATAGTGAGTTAGTAAGGTGTCAGCAGACAAAGCCTCTTTTGCTGTATTAAAAGCAGCTTCTTGTTGTTTACCCCAGTGCCAAGTTGCATTTTTCTGTAGCAGCTTGTACAGTGGTGATAGTTTACCAGACAGATTTTCTATGAACTTTGCATAGTAATTTATCAAGCCCAAAAAAGCTCTTAGTTGTTGGGTATTTTCAGGTTTGGGTGCTTCTTTAATGGCTTTTGTTTTCTCAGGTTGAGGTCTGATGCCTTGCTTGCTTAATATATAACCAAGAAAACTAATTTCTGTCAGCATGAATTGACATTTATCTTTGTTTACCTTTAAACCTTTTTCACCAACAATTTTTAATACTTTATCAAGTGTTTTAAGATGTTCAGTGTCATTCTTACCAGTTATGTACACATTGTCAAAGTACACACAAACATTTGGAATGTCCTTAAAAATACTGTCCATGACAGCTTGGAAAATTCCAGGGCTAGATGATATGCCAAAACATAGTCTTTCATATTGGTAGAGTCCTTTATGTGTGTTTATTGTCGTATAGACTTTTGAATCTGGATGCAGTTCTAGTTGAGTGTAAGCATGACTAAAGTCTAATTCAGTGAATTTGTCTCCTCCTGCCAAATTCAAAGAAATTTCCTCAATGTTAGGTATAGGGTACCTATTTAGCTCTATTTGCTTATTCAGTGTAGTTTTGTAGTCTCCACAAATTCTTATAGAACCATCCTTCTTTAACACTGGCACAATGGGTGTCGCCCAATCGGAATAGTCTACCTTCTTTATAATGCCATTAGATTCCAATCTACTTAGCTCATTTTCAATTTTATTCCTCATTGCATAAGGTGGAACTCTAGCTTTGCAGTATCTTGGATTTGTATCTTTAATGCTTAACTTCACTGTTCTATCATTTAGTAAAGCTGAATTACCAAAAACACATTTATTTTCAGATATAACTTTATCTAGTGAAGTAAGACTAGATTCTTTTACATTCTTCAATGAACAAATACTCTCCCAATTTAACTTAAGATCACTTAACCAGTTCCTACCTAGTAATGGCGGTCCATTTCCTTCAACCACAAGAAGAGGAAGTTTAACACTTTGACCATTATAACTTACATGAACCATACACTCTCCTATTACCGGAACATTGTCACCAGTGTATGTTGTTAGACACTTGTGACATGGCTGTAGAGGCACTGATTTTTCTGTGACAGCGTCAAAATCTTTCTTTGTGATGACTGTTAGAGATGCTCCAGTGTCAAGTTGGAAGCTGATGCTCTTACCGTTGATATAAACTGGTACATTGATGGGAGCATGACTTATTGATTTAACAGAGAACAGGTTGAAATCCGGCTGCAAATCAATTTGAGCATTTTCACAGGTAGAGTGGTTCATTGGTTGGGTTAGGTAGTCTTGGTGAGAGTTAACATAGTGCTGCTTTTGGTTGCGGTACTGTCTTGACTGGCTAGATTTAGCAACAGACGAAGACTTTGCAAAGCAGGCCTTAGCAATGTGACCTTGCTCACTGCACTTATAACAAGTTGCAGACTTGAACTTGCATCGATGAGATGCATGGGGACCTTTGCATCGATGACATTTTTGATAATTATTACTAGATTTAGATCTAGGATTTGAACGAGCAGGGTGTTTAGCATAAGTTGGAATGCTCTGTTGGGGTTGATGTTTATTGACTAACCTGCTGTTTACTGCATGGATCTCTGAAGGTGCTAAAGATCTCGCCGCATCTGATGACTGCTGGAATGACATTGCAAGTTGTATTGCTTTTTCCAATTTTAGATCTGACTCGAGCAGCAACTTTCTTTGAATATCAGGGCTGTTTACACCTGTCACAAACTTTTCACATAATCTGTCAGACAGCGTTTCTCCAAATTCACAAAATTCACTTAAATGACGTAAAGCAGCAACATATTCTGATATTGACTCGTTTGGTTGCCGAGTCCTACTGTCAAATCTAGCTCGACATAGAAACTTTGATGGGGTAGGCGCATGGTGGTCTGTTAGCAATTTGCTCAGCTCGTTAAAGCTCTTGGTAGTTAGACTGGCTGGTGCGCATAAGTCTTTTAGTAGCCTAAATTGTTGAGGCCCTATGACTGTTAACAAAACAGCTCTCTTTTTGGCTTCTATCGTCACGTCGTTAGCTTCTAGGTAAAAGCTTAACCTCTCTAGGTAATCTTGAATGATTTCATCATTCGCATCAAATTCTTTTATTTGGCCATACAGCGCCATAATTCTAGAAATAATTAGCTAATAAGCTCTAGCAAACCTCTTTTTTGCGTAAGTAGGTGCTCTTTCTAGTAGATGTTTATCCTTCGTCGCCAGTTATAATAGATTGACGACAGAAGCCTGTGGTTGTATATAACACGTTTAATTGGGTCTAACTACCTCATGATGGTAACACCAGAGAGGGCGGAAGGGAGTACACAAGGGACATCACTCAAGATAACAATATTATAAATATAACTAATACAGAAGAGTGAGTTCCCTTGACCTCACAATTATTTCAATCTATTACAATACCTACCTACCTCAAACAAAATATTTTTATCATCTGTTTATTTTCTTCAGTTTCTGCTAATTCTTGTGTTAATTAATAGTTCCAGACAATACTTGTGACCTGTACACTCAGTTATCTCAATCATGTTCATCCAATGAAAATTGTTACGAAAATAATCAGAATCTTACACAGTGTAAGACAATTATAAAAGATACAGGTATTTCAAAAAAATTGACAATATATTTTTATTTAAATAACTTTATTTAGCTATTTTTGTCTGTAGGCAAATCAAAATGTGCTAATTTTATATTTGATGTAATTTCTTTATTAACAGACAGGTTGGCCTTAATTCTAGGACTTTCAATTGGAATTGGTGTGTTTATCATCATTGTTGTGGTTATTGCTGTTTATGTTATTGTTCATCAAAAGCAGTTAACTAAATACCATCTATATTCAAAGTCTATTAATGAGTAAGTACTTACATTTACTTTTTATTATTAAATCCTGTCAGTGATTATAAATTAATCGGGATCATTCAGTCAAAAAATTACTAGGCTAAAGACTAGCACTGGACAGAGATGCCTGGATATCTCTTGTCAGTGGCATTTGTCCCAGGAGTGGTGACAGGCCAACCTAATCTAATCTTTGAAAATTATTTCGATAAAAATTCACAATTTTGTTTATTCGTTTTATTTAACTCTGGTGTCTTTTTTAAATAAATATATATTTTACTTAGAGCTTAAAATTTTAAAGGTAAAGAATTTTTTATTTTCAGGTGTGTTTTTTAATCTACATTGTCTAGTACTTACATTCACTCAAAATGTATGTATTTTAATATACTTTGCCTGGTGTATTTTTTAACATTTAAAATAATATATACTTACTTTTAGTAATAGACAACGTACAAGGGAAGACTCAAGTTATCAGTCCATGGAACTACCCCCTGTGATGGCAAGTGATCCAGCTGCTAAATGTTTAAAGTTTAAGAAAGTCCTTTCTCCTTTTAGTGAAGCTATATACAATGAAAACATTATGTACTGACATATCAGCAAACCATTTCTTATGCTTTTAAAAACCTTAGAATATTACCAAAACAATTTTGGAACATAATAAATCCTAAATGTAAACTTAAAATGTTTTTCTTAGTAAAAAAAATTGTATAATTAATTTTATGATTTTTCAGTGAAAGTTAATATCTCCTTGATATTATGTTAAAATTAGATTAATAGTTGCAAAAAATGTTTCACTAACCACATTACAGCCTTTGCCATTTCCATTCATTAACCGAACCTTATGATTATCTTATATTTCGGATTAGGTTTAATGTTAATAATATGTTTAGAATTAATATATAAATTATAATAACTTGTAAATCGTAATTATTGTTGGTTAGTAATTGAGTATACTTTACGAAAATATTATATGTAATAATATTTAGCAATAAATTGTTCACAAAGTTTTAAAATATATTAATTTTTTGTATTTATTTTAATATCTGCACACTATTACTACAATTATTGTCTACATATTGCAATATACAACAGTTAAGGAAAAAAGATATTAAAAGTTGCATCACAAAACTGATACATGGTAGCGTTTGTCTTAACACTTTAGTTCACAACTTGATAAGTAGGCTAGTATAGTTATAATAATATAATAATATAATAATATAATAATATAATAATATAATAATATAATAATATAATAATATAATAATATAATAATATAATAATATAATAATATAATAATATAATAATATAATAATATAATAATATAATAATATAATAATATAATAATATAATAATATAATAATATAATAATATAATAATATAATAATATGATAATATAATAATATAATAATATAATAATATAATAATATAATAATATAATAATATAATAATATAATGATATAATGATATAATGATATAATGATATAATGATATAATGATATAATGATATAATAATATAATAATATAGTAATATAGTAATATTATAATATAATAATATAATAATATAATAATATAATAATATAATATCATAATATCATAATATAATAATATAATAATGAATTTTTCATTGCTCTGAGTAAAGTGCATTTGTGTCATTATTTAGTGAATGTGTTTTGTGAATCAATTTAAAGTTTTGCATTTTATTTTGTCTCATGTGAAATGGAATTAAAAACATAGACCTGCCTACTAGCAGGTGGAGTCAGGGACTCTAGCCAAGCACTTGAACTCTAGACTTTTATGTTAGCAGACAAATCCTCTATCATTTGACCATGCCATCTAGTCTCATGATAACAAGCATAAAAAATTCAGAATATATTGGTGCTCATACAACTTATAAATCCTTTCATAAACTGCTACAAATCGGACTATTACAACACACAGCAAAAGAACTGAACAAGGACGAATGGGATAGGGTACCAAGTAACAACAACATTCACCCCCATTCATCCCCCTTCACTACATATTATAATTGTAAAGATAATTTAATCTATTGGTTTATGCACAATTATTTTCATGTTGATACAAACTAATGCAAATTAATATTTTTGCTGATACTGGCTAGACAATCAGATTTTCATCTAAGATTTCTGCCACTAAATAAATAGCCTACTAATTCGTTGTGTTTATAAGGTAAATACACCAGTCAATTTTGTTATTTAAGTTACACTAACTTCAATATTTGTAGAATGATACTGGAAGTTAAATTATACAAAGAAAGAGGGAAATTAAAAAGAAAAAATTTCCATTTATACTACTAGGCTAAATAGTACACACTTAATAAGTAAAAATGTTAATAGTATATGTCTGATATATCTTTATTTTTTAGTTCAGTTAATTAAATCTTATATAATTATTAGAAAGTGGTTTTGTTACCAACATTGAACAAGTACCTTGGGAATTTTCACAAAATCTTTATGTTCATTTTAATTTAAAAAAACACAAAATATTGAATACAACATGACATTAGTTAAATATACTGATTATATTGCAATAAATAAAATGAAAGAAAAATAACCAGTCATATGCTAAAAGTTATGAATATATATTTAATGTGAGTTTTCTTTCAATATGTTGGCTTGAAAATGTAGGTTTACAAATGTTCTCTCACCTCACACAGAACAAGAAATTGAATCACAAGACAGTTCTAGAATGAAGCATTTAGTAACTCCAACAAAAGGATTTAGCCAATATCTATTTTCCATGAATTAATCATGTAAAAAAGGCACCATATAAAAGACTAAACCATTGTGAACTATTTATACTTTTGGACATGAGAAGTTAAAATGACAATCAAATGCATAATTTAACTTGTAGCAAACTACAATGGCAAACATAACTCAAACATGAATTTAAATTCAAACTCATTTGAACACCTTGAGCAAATTGATTTAATACTGCTTTAAAAAAAAACAAGAATAATGAAATATTTCCATTTAGGAAATGGGTCATACATTTACCTAAACAACCACAGGCAAAGTGTAGAATATAATATTGCTTGAAAGAACTAAGCCATACATCAAATTAGAAAACTGACCACTGGATTGAAAGACTATGACTCGCCCATCTTATGAAAATCAGGAACTTTCATTCTGTGATTCAAAGAACAACATGGATTGCTAAATTGCCAAGGTATTCTATAAATGCTGGGGTTTTATACATCCTGGTAACATATTCATACAGGGGTATTGGAAACAATATCCATGTAAATTTTAATGTATGAATGAAAAAGGAAACATGATTTACAAACAAATATTGTTTATTATATCATACTAATGATTACTAATGTGGTTAAGCCTAGATTAGATTCAACTCTTCACTTTTGGATTTGTTCATAAACCTGTGGGGGAAAAATGACAAAAAAACAACTTGTCATTGAAGTATAGCTAAAGATTAAACATTGAACATTTATTTAAAAAAAAAAACTTCTAATTTAATCTGAACCAGTCATTGTGATCCTACTTTAAAAAATGTATGTTTCCAAATTTGTACTACTCACATGTTCCTTGTCCAAGTCATTTGTTCCAGATTCATTTAATTGATGGTATGGATTGTGACCTCTATCTTCGTCAGGATTAATTTCATTATAAGGACTGTTATCCTCTTCTAGGCTGTTGACAACTTCATGGTCTTGATTGATGGGGATTTCATTGTATGGAGTGTTGTCTATTTCTGCATTCATATCATTTACACTATTTTGATTATTCTGTATTTCATTGTATGTACTGTTGGTTATTTCTGAATCTTCAGCTGGTTTATTATTAGACTTCTTCTTTCTTAGTGGAATGTTTGGAGTAATTTCATTGTTTGAATTAGTAGCCATTTCTCTAAATGTGGCTGTCTTATTGTCTGCATCTTTCACTATTTCATAATATGTATTCATATCAGTGTTTTGGTCAGGTAAATCAGCTCCTTGTTCCTCTGATGTGGTTGGTATCATTTGATAATGTACAACAGGATCTGTATCTTTCATATCAAGTGTATTGTAAGCATGTTTCTCCTCAGTTGTTTTGTACACAGTTTCATGTGGTAATGGGGATAGTAGTGGTCTAAGAAAAAAAATTAAGACAAAAATTAGAACACTGAATCTTGAATGTGCTTTCATGACAGACAATATATACAGCTATATTTCATCACAGCATTATTATTACAAAGTTATAGACCTATGTTAAAATTATACAATTATTGCAGATAAACATTAAGTCATTTACATAATCACTACAAGTCATATGTTGACTGAGCTCTTTGATAAATATTTTTTTTTAAAGAAATCAAAATATGCTATCTTGACTTAATTTTTTACTATGAAGTTATTAAAACACATTCTTTTCAAAGACTTACGGATTAATTTCAATATATTCCTCTTGATCATGTTTTTGTCTTCTCTTTCTATAGCGCAAGATAACAAGCACCACAATAGCTATTGTGATGATGACCAACAGGCTAAGTCCAACAGACAGTCCAATTGTTAATGCAGTATTGTTTTCTGCATCTTAAAATATTTGAGTTTTTATTTTGCATTAATCAGTATTACTAAGGCAATCATAATTATACAGTATTTTGCTACTTATAGCCTATATTAGCACTATAAGTAAAGTTATCCTTTCAAACTTGGATCTATGGGGTACATAAAGTAGCAATATTAACAGAAAGAGATAAACATGGGTACATAAAGTAGATTTCCCCTGTTTCTTTTGCAAATCCATAATAAGTACTGGATAAATTTTTACATTTATTTTAAATGAATTACCTATGATTTTACACGATGGTACTGTGTTCTCTTTGTATGATGGATTAGATGAACAGTTCTTCAAGACAGAGTACACTTCACATGAACTTGGTAGCTTTTTCACTAATAACAAACAATTATGTATGTGCATTAGCTGTAAAAGTTAATTTATTGTAATATTTTTATTTTTTTGGGTTTAAAAGGAATAAATGGTCATGAATACCTAATTTATTAAATCAAAGTTGTTTTTTTTTAAATGAGTGCAATAAAATGTATTTTTACTATTCTTATGCTCAGACACTAAACCAATACAAATTACTCTCAATAAGGTGGTTTTAAAAGCTTACTGTTTTATAATGAAATGTGTTTCAATTAAGTTATATACTTGAGTTTATTGAAATGGATGAGAAAAATAAATTATAATATCTTTTATTGACTTACATGAAGTGTTACACACAGAAACATCCAGTACTTCAATTACTTCAGAACCAATAGTCAAATTTCCTGCTTTGTTTAGTTCATAAGCAAATGTTGAAGCAGGGTCTGAGTCACTGTTACTATACAATTGATCAACCTGTAGTTCTGTATAGGCAATAACGGATCCATTTCTTTAGAAAAAAGTAATTTTTAACAGGTGTAAGTTGTCTTAAAATATAGCATTTTAACTGAACATAATGTATTGGCATAAGTCAACATTATAAATGAAAACAATATTTTATTTTAATGAAGATATAATGTTACAGTAATTACACCACAAAATCAAATTTGGTGTAATACTTACACAAGTTTATTTATAATGAAAGGCAAAATAGCTTGACCAAGTTTTTCTTTTCCAAATTTAGTTAACTGAAATAAATGTTGCATGATCACTTTAAGCTGTTTTAAAACCAAAAGTGATTTATTTATAATTTAACGTTGGTTAAATGCCTTTTCAGAGATCTACACCAGGGGTCTCCAAACTACGGCCCGCGGGCCGGATGCGGCCCGCGATGTCCTCTCATCCGGCCCGCTGAGATTTTTTTGTCCACAGAAAAACCGTTTGTTGGTGATGGCTGAGGAACTTTGCCCAGAAAAATCAAAGACATGCCTGGAAGAAATTGGCCCCCGAACTGAAATTTGATAGTTAATGCGGCCCTCGGGCCGAAAAGTTTGGAGACCTCTGATCTACACAATCACAATACAAATGCTACTATTGCTGATAACTATATTTATCCCATATATATATATATATATATATATATATATATATATATATATATATATATATATAATATCCTAGAAGATTATTTTATCTAAACATGCTAATTTAAATAGACTATTTAAAAAAAAAAAAAAAAAAGTAACCCTTCTTAACTTTCTAGTCTAAACATATGTTTTGTAATAAATAAAGCTTACACTATCTGCAATTTTACTTGATAATTCTCTTGATTCTCTCGTAGTTGAAATAAACAAGAACGGGTTTATGTTCTCTTTGGGGTACTGAAGTTGAACAGTCAATGGGAATGAAACATAGTTCACTGTATGGAATTATCAGCAGTTGAATCATTAGATTATGTAATAACTTTGTGATTTTGATGTTAATAAATGTATTAGACATCATGTTCAATAATTACCAAAATAATGTTTCAAATTTTATAGGAATATTGTTTATTGTTATTATATTACTATTAATGGAATAATTTAATATTTAAATTATTATATGTATATAATAGTATTGGTAGTTTCACAGCATTTCTCAAATTTAAGTAGTTCTCTTTTAAGGCTGATGATATCTGTATTTAAAATCTACAAAGTGTGGAATTTTATGGTCTACATATGTCCAGTCATATCACATTTAACACATGCCTACTGACTCAAGCCCTTGAACTGAGTTTTGAGTCTCTCAATGATTTCCTTATGGAACAGCGTAGTCTAGAGCTAGAGCGCTGGACTGATAACCCAAAAGTCTTAAGTTTGAGTCTGGGTTCAACTCAGTAGAATGTCCACTCAGCTCTATTGCTTTCTAAAAAGTACAAAAAGCAAATTATCAGCTGATATAACAAGTCACCTATACAAGCAAATTTGTCATTTGTTTTTGTTAAATGTCCAGGTTTACAAATACATTCATATGATCCTTCTGCATTGTTACATGTCGTAGTCTTCAAGTCACACTGGTAAGATGGATCAAGGCACTCATCTATATCTGTAAGTGTAAAATGTTTACAATAACTATTGTAATCACAGGTTGGTTTGAATATAATTATTGAGTTAATCAACTAAAGTTAAATTTGATTTACTATAGTTAGATGAAATAATTCATTTGTCAGCTGATTTGTCATATGTCAAATGAGTGGATTTTATTTCAATTAAAATGTGACTTAGGTGTAAATTAAACAGTGAATTAAAATGTAATTTTAACTTAACTTAAGCATAAGTTGATGTGTAACATAAATAACAATTATAAAATTACTTATCTCACCTTCACAAAATGGGCCAATTGATTTTCCATATCCTTCATCACATCTACATTCGGCCGATCCATTTATATTAAAACAATGGTCATGTTCATCTGGGCAGTAGCTAGTGTTTGAACATTCATCAATATCTTTCTCACAATGAACTCCAGTCCAGCCTGGCTTACATGTACAAGATCCATTGATATTATTGCATTTCTCAGTGTGAAGCTGAACACAATTACACTTTTCACTGCAGTCTTGACCAAATTTCATTTTACTACAAGCTAAAACAAACATTGTAAAATAATTAAAATTTATTTTTAAAACATTCATTTTGAAATTTAATTAACAAAACAATAAATCTTTATGTTTTTCATGTAGTTTTTAAATTAGTTTGTACTCAAAACCGCCATTTTTTTTTATAATTGGTTCAAATGTTAAAATATGATTTCAGCAAAATAAAAAATAAAATAAACAATAAATAAATAAAAATATAAAATACTTACGAGTGCAACCATGGTTTGATTTAAAGAAGCCTTTATCACAGACACATCTATATGATCCTAATGTGTTAACACAGTTTGAATTGTTCTGACATAGATTGATTTGGTAGTTACATTCATTTATATCAGCATTACAGCCTGTGTCCTTCCATCCCTTTAGACACTCACATGTTCCATTCTCAGGAAAGCAAATACTTTTTGTTATATTACATGAGCAATTTTGCGTACAACTATATCCATTAGTTCCATAATAACATTCTGAAAACACATGGTAATAATGCAGATTTCTATAACTGTATTTGCACACAAAAATGAGTGATTAGTTTAGTAATAAGTCATAATTATTACTATTTTAAGAGAGTTGATTGTATGTAAATTACAATTTTTTTTAAAACTGTAATGACCAAAACTAACATTACTATTTCAGAAGCATTGTTCATTTAAATATAATTATTACTATTTTGTTAAATATTTTAATAATTTTACTTACATGGTGTATTAAAATACATTCAATAATTAATAATTAATAATAATGTGTATGTGCCTTTAAAAGAAATACAAAGATAAAAAGGATGTTCACATTACCGGTGCATGTATGGTTAGTTAAGTCAATGTATCCTTCTTTACACCGACATTCAAATGATCCAGGTGTGTTAATACATGAAGACAATGGCAGACAAGGAGAAATTTCACTAGAACATTCATCTTGATCAATCTCACACCATGTCCCAGCCCAGCCTGTTTTACACTGACATCCAATTTCAGCATCACAACTTGACATGCCTTGTATGCTGCAGTTACATGTAGTTGCACAGTTATCTCCCCAATGATAAGCATCACATGCTAGATGAAATTAAACATTACAAAATTATAATTTTTTTGGAAAACATCATTTGCAACTAAAATTACTTAAATTATAGACAATTATAAACTTATACTAGACTATATTATTGCTTTAAATATAATATTTTCAGAAACAAAAATGTATTCCAAATAAATAAGAGTGACAAAATAAAAATAGAACTATTAACCATAGCAGTGTAAGAAAAAAATATTTACAATCTTAAATAGCAAAAGCTGGAAACATGCGGTATCTGCATTTATGATAATTGTGCTGCTATGAATAGTACATGTAAAGAGAGCAAACACAATGCAGTCATAAATTACTTCTCATTTAAAAATAAGTTATTTTACCTCGACAGCTTAATTTATCATTTTGCAGTTTATAGCCTACAGGGCATGAGCAGTTGTAGGAGCCCATAGTATTAACACAGTTTCCATCACACTTGTTATTTTCTGATTTGCATTCATTTACATCTAAAAAAAAGACGTTAAATTTGAGTAGTGATTTATTTTTAATTTATACAGAATGGATGGATATTTTCTAGGAAAATGTTGTTTATAGTTATTTTTATTCTTTAAATAATTCATAATTTCTTTATAACAATAAAATGATTATTCTTTTTGTTGTTTTTGATACAAATATTTCAAATTATTTCAAGTTGAGACAGAGAAATGTTTTACTAATGTTAATAAAAAAGGGTTACTAAAACCTATTAATATTTTATTATTTAATTCTTTAAAACTCCAATTGTTATAAATATAGTTAAAAAACTGTCAATTTTAAATAATGTACAAACTCACCAATGCAATCAAAGTTATTAGTGCTAAGAGTGAAGCCAGTATGACAGAAACATTGAGGTGTTCCATTTACATCTGTACAGCCTTGGCTGCAGTTAAGGTAAAAATTGACGCAAGGATCCACAGCTGAAAAAATAAAATTGTTGGGTCACAAGTTATGGCATACTAAAATTAAAATGTAATTTCTCTTTTAAAAGTTTATAAAGTTAAAACAGTTTTTTATTGCTGATGCACACATTAAAATATCATCTTAATAATCTGTAAGTAAATTAATGAGTACATATTTTTTTTTCAAAAATATTTCTATTTTAAGTGTTTTTTAAAGCAATTTTTTTTAAAATAAATACTATTGTTTCTGCACATGCTGATTTTTTTACTAAGTATTTGTTTATTATATTTTAAAATTACCATCTTTTTCACATGTCTTTCTGTCATCCTTTAATCTATAACCAGGATAACAACCACAGTAGCTACTCCCTGGAACATTCAAACAGATCTGCTCACAGCCAGATTGGCCATTATGACATTCATCTATATCTGTAGAGATATTGTAGATTCTTAATTAATAGATTGATAACATTTACTTTCAATGTGATGGATACAATTTTTCAGAAGTTATTTTTTTTTTATTTAGGCTTATTACAGCTTTAAATGTTTTTGTTTATATTTTATAGTGTTTTAACTATAGCTAGATTTACAATGTGGGCTTCGATTTAAAATCAATGTTTTTTTATATTACCTAAGCAAGTCCCATTAGAAAGTTTTGTAAAACCACTAAAGCATTCACAAATGAAAGAGCCTGGTGCATCAATGCAGTTTTGGGAGCAATTATTTAGCAGAATATTGTTGCATTCATCGATGTCTGAAAAACAAATGATTATACAAAATTTAAATAACATCTACTGAACTATTCTAGTCAGTAGTGTTTAAAAATGAAATTAGAAATAATTAATTATCAATGAATTTGAAGTAACTAGCATATTTTTAAAATTTAATTTAATGAAAACATTTAATGCTGATGACATTTTATATACAATAAATAAATTGTCATTCCCAATTTAATAATAAATAAAATCAAATGTTAAAACTACTAACACAATTTTTTTGTGGTAATAAGTATCTCTGTTTTATCTTAAATATATGTTTGTTGTTATAGACATTAATATTTTTATGTGGTGTTTACTGTACATTTAATTTAATTTGACTGGCCAGATAATGGTGTCAAATGGCTACCCAAATCAATGCTAAACTACATTACATTTGTAATATCTTGTCTGGTAGCCATTTGAGTTCTGTTATCAATTATGAACCAAGTTAAACAACAATCCTATAGCGACTAAATAAAAACCTTATTTATGGCAATAATGCTGTATTTTACAGACCTGGATAGTATAATGTTCACCTATGATTTATAGTAGTACAAAATATTGTTGAAACAAACACCAAATTATTGGTCTATAAACTGCTTATCTCAATTAATGAATAATTCTTACTGATGCAAGTCCCATTGATATCTTCAAATCCTGTAGGACAGTCACATGTGTAGGATCCCTTAGTATTTTTACAGTAATGATATGGTGGACAAATGTTTGGAGTTTCTACACACTCATCAACATCAATGTCACAGTTCGTTCCCTTCCAATTGTCTTGGCAGATACAGCCCTTGATACTGTCACATCGTAGAGCATGGCCCTTACATTCACATTGTGCGGCACAGTTTAACCCATACATATTATCACGACATGCTATTAGAAAAACAATTATCAACGCAAAACTTGAATGTGTTTTGGGACTACCACTGGTTTCTAATATGTAATGAGACATGTATGGGTTTAAGCTATAGAAAAATAAAGTGCAGCTAGAACAGACAAAAATGGTATAGTTTTTTAAAAATAAATTTATAGTTAGGAATGTATTAAAAACCTTAAGTGAAATTTCAATTTAGATTGATATAATTATGTTTATCTATCATTAGAAACAATATTGAATAAAAGGTTTTTTTAGATTTTATTAAGAGCTTTTAAAGAAAGATGTTATGAAGAAACAACTTCAAACTTACAATCACACTCGTGAGCATGTTCGCTGTTCATCTTGTAACCAGCGTTACAGCTACAAGTAAAGCTCCCTTCACTATTACTGCAGTTTTGTGAGCAAATGTTTTTCTTACATTCATCAACATCTGCACATACATATTTTGCATTAACAGATAATGAATAAAAATTTAAGTATATATATTAGTAACCTCAAAAAACTTATTTCAAAATGAATTCTTTAAGAATGTATAAAACTGCATTCAATTAAATAAATATTATTTTGTTATGTATAAATTTCAATATAATGAATATGTTACAAAATAAAAAGCAAAACAACATGAACCTTGATTCTAATTATATTATTATTAATCTTGAATTACCTATACAATCAATGCCATTTTCTTTCAGAATAAATCCATGTTTACAAAAACAGCCTTGAGTGTCATTGTTGCAGTCATAATTGCATGTTGCGTTTACTGATTTACACTGATTTATACCTTTAAATTAAAAATAAAGTGAAGATTAAAATATTTGATTATTCATCTCTTGTTTACTATCTTCATAAATGAATAGTATCATTGTTAAGATTTAAATAAATTTTAAAAAATAATGTTCACCTGTTTCTGTTTTAATACATGCATTTTTGGAGCTATTAAAACCAGGATAACAGGAACAATTAAAACTTCCTAGAGTGTTGGTACATAACTGAGCACAGTTATCTAGTTTATCAGCACACTCATCTATGTCTAAGATATTTTTACAATGAATAATATACAAAAATAAACAATATGAAATACTATATTTTAAAATATTCCAGATTATTACATCGTAATATTTAATTCTTTAAAAAATGATAACAAAATTATTTTACTCTAAATGTTCATAAATGGTATATATATGTAAAGATGACAAATGTGTAGTATGGATTCTTTATGAATTTTAACAATTTCTTCATATTTTCTTTATTCTATTTTGATTTTAGAAATAGAAAAACTACTTGCCCACACAACTGTTGTTTACAGTTTGGTAACCACTCTGACAGTGACACAAAAAGCTTCCATAAGTATTTTCACAGTCAGCATGAGAATCACATGGTGAAGTTTGACATTCATCAAAGTCTGTTAATACAATATATTTAATAATAGTATTAACATACAGTGCATAAGTAATGTTGCTCAAATTACATGTATAATTCTTTATTTATTAGTTTTACATAGCTAACAACTTGTTTTTAAAAATAGTGTCTACTGTACTTTGTTCAGTAAATGTTTTTACAGTTATAATTTTTTTTTAAATAATTTAAAAAAGAAAGCAGACAAATTATAGTAATACTCTTATTTCAAGAGTTATAGTTTGCTTTTGTCTAGATTGAAATGCATTCCACATTTTCACTGTGTACCTCTAAGTACCTACCATATTTAATGCTATAGTGTACATTTAATTTGCTTAAAATATTACTATCGATTATTCAAATGCATGTAGTAAACACACTGAGTTTACATCATACCCAAAAATATTTAAAATTAAAATATGGAAAAAACATACCTTCACACTTGGTTTTAGTAATGCTAAGATTAACCAACAGGGCAATTTTCACAGTTATAAAATACTCCAGTAGCCTGATTTATATTGTTTGAAAGATTTGTACAGCCTAATGGGCAGGGCTTATCAGCACAGCCATCAATAATTTCTTCACAATCAACTCCTATTAAGAGTTATACCAAAAAATAAGTTGTGGTGGTGTACACAGACAGATCTTTTTACTTTAACTTAAATTTTGCAAACAGATTATTACATAATATAATTCAAATTTATACATTTAGCTGTAAAAATGTTATAAAGAAAGAATGTTATTTAGGCTTATGCAGAAATTCTATTAAACTTCTATTTAATATAAATCAAAGTAAAACTAATGCCAAACTATACAACTTACTTCTATTTAATATAAATCAAAGTAAAACAACCGCCAAACTATACAACTTCAATATATTTTAAAAGCTCTAGGTTTAAACTTTTAAAATGTAGGAAAACTTTTTTTAAAATTATATATTAAATTATCAACATGCCTCTATATCTAGAGTTACAGTTGCAGATTGCATAGGTAAAATAAGGAGATGTGGTAGGTCTGGTAACAGAAAAGTTACATGATCCCTGATTACTGCAACCAGTACAGAGAGTAAGAGACAATGGGATAACTTCTGACTGCATGTTTTTATCATCAACAGCTGTTATTCTGTGGGAGAAAATGTATCGTATTTTTGCTTACTCTATCAATATACAAATATATATTTATATAAATATATATATATATATATATATATATATATATATATATATATATATATATATCTATATCTATATATATATATATATATATATATATATATATATATATATATATATATATATATATATATATATATATATATATATAGGTTTATATTTGAATATATTTTATATAAAAGTGTGTTACTTTTGCACAAAACTTTAAGGAATAGTATTGTCTGACGGGACGGAGTGGTCTAGCGGTAGAGAGCTGGACTGCTAACCCGTAAGTCTCGAGTTCGAATCCGGGTTCAAGTCAGTAGACCGTCCCTGAGTCCACCCAACTCAAATGGGTACCTAACTCATGTTAGGGAAAGTAAAGGCGGCTGGGCATACTGCTGACTACACTATCTCTTCATATGCCGAGGTCACAGAAACAAGTGAACTCTACTTCACTTGCCCCATAGACCGTTAGGTTTGAAAGGGAAACTTTACTTTTACTTATTGTCTGACAAAACTTTCAGGAAAAACCAAACTATTATACATACACCCTCACATTTGTTAAGGGTAATTCTAATTATAAAAATACAAAACAGCATACAAACAGAAGACCATAGAAAGCAAAAAAAGGAAATGTTTAAATTTGACCCTAAAATGTTACTTCTTTTAGTTTTTCATAGACAGTTTTCCAAAAAAGCAAACTCATCCATCTGAAAATTAGTAAAAAGCTGGCAAAAACTATTCTTCAGGGCAGAAATTCAAAAATATCATTATGTTAAATCTTAATATTAATTAAAGCTGTATCCAAGTTTAACCAACAAGTCTGTTGTAACACCTTATCCATGTTTTCTAAAACTGAGTTAGATAAATTTAAATAACGACTGCGCTATTATTTTTTTGATCATAGGATGCAGGTTTGTCCAAATTGCAGCCAGACACCCAAGGCCTTGAAAGTTAAATTAATCAACCCCCATAATAATGAGGTATAACACATGTCATGAGAGTCACTGGGTTCCCTCATGCACCACATGGCATCAGCTGCTCTTTCTTGTTCTATTTAGTTATCAAATATATTGGCCCACAGTGTTTCGATTTCTATGGGGCCTTAAAACAAATGTAGGTACCATAAAGTTCAAGTGGGAGCCTGGGGCACACAGGGTCACTTGAATACGGGTGAGAATATGCCTAGGACAATCTGACTGCGCAAAATCCTAGCCAGATGGTGTCGCTGACCCTCTCAAATTTAATTTTTGTTTTCCACATAAATCTTCTCAGGAGTATTCCATAAACTCCACAAAGTTTCATGGCATTCAGATGAAAAGTAGTAATACATAAAAGACAAACAGACATTAAAATGTAAATGAAGTAGTCCTACTTACCCAATTGTTACTACAGTTAACTTTGTAACTATAAACATAAATTCGGTTGTTGTATTATGTGTTGAAGTAACTTGATTTTTTGGCTTTTCAATGTAATTTACATTGGTTAATACTATGAAGTGTGTAACATTCCCATCAATATCATAGCCACTAACATTGATGAAAAAAGGAGTATTAATATATATTTCAAAGTTTGTTTGATTTAGCTTAATAAATGGTGCTTGATTTGCTGTAGACAAAAGAAATGAATTTAATTAAGCATAATTTTAAGTAGTTAAAACAGTATTTACTTTCTAGAAGATAAAAGCATCAAAAACAAATCATTTTAGTATGTCAAAGTCAAGTATGAAACTTAAAAGAATTTAAATGATCAGCTTGCACTAAGCCACACTGCCCCCAAAGTAAACTTTAAGGAATATTCCTAGATTGATGCACAATAGCCAACTATCATTGCTGTAGTGCTATATTGTTAACTACATCATTCTATAATTGTTAAATAAAAAGTTATAGAAAACTCTTACCCATATTGGTATTCTCCATTATGAACTGATCTGCTACTTCTAGTGAATGTTTTGCTAAACTTTCATTTTGAGTAGCAATGTAATCATAAATACAAGGTATTTGAAACATTCCATTACAAAATGTACTGGAAGAATTGGTTATTGCATAACTAAGCTCATCATAAAATAAAGGGGTGAAATTTGTAAAGGAAAATGTTGATGTGCTTTGCCCATAAGCATATGGAAATAAGCTTTCAGACTGAGTTACTGCCCCTGCAAAGAAAAAGTAAATAGCAATTTCACTATAAAAATAGAAACAAAATTACAAATGTTCTATACAATTTGATTTGTTAAATTAAATAACAAAATACAATGTATAATAATTTAATTTTTTTAAACTGATTTTCAAAAATTTCTCACAGCTCTGTACAAAATGAAGAAGTTGTCTTTCAGACGATTTATCTGTGAGTGTAGTCCCATTAGGAAATATAAAATCATCTGTCTTGATATAATTGAAATTGCCTAAGAGCCCTCGTGTCATATTCTGATATTTCTTATCTAAGCTTACATAAGCTTCAAGAAAACCATATGATAGGGTAATTGTGACTCCAACACCTGGAGATTTAAAAATTGCATTATTTTTAACACATTTGATAGGATATAAATATAAGATATTAAAAACAGTATTAAATATATCTAGAAAAGGTATTTTAAAGTATTTACTAAATTGTCAAAACTTACTTTCAGAAAATGAAACTTTCAAGGATCCATTTTGTTGTCTGATGACCATTCCATTTTCAACAGCAAAGAATTCTGGCTCATTTTTAAATGGTGCAGAGTAATCTCTATTATTTGCATAAATAACCATCACTGAAATAGTTAGTACTTTTATAAATTTTCATAAGAAAGTATTGTGTTCTTTTATACAAACTTAATCTTTTTTAATAGATTTTAAGAATTAGAAAAGAGTGGAAGCATTTTGATGTTAATATTAATTAATCTGGAACTTTTTGTGTTTTTTGTCTTACTGCAAGCAAGGATTTATAGATTTAACCTATTTTTGTGTCAATAATTGCAATACATTTTTTTTTCACAAGATCACATTTCTAAAAGTGAAATTAAGATGAAAACTGACGCATTGTTATAAAATAATTAAAGATCATGTACAATAAAAAACATACTTCTATCCCCAGGACTTATTTGTACTGTTAATATCATATCATCTCCATTTTTAAAAGCAAAAGCACACCAAACTGCAGCTCTTGCTTTTGTTCCATTTTTGCTTAATGCACTGCAAGTCCGACCCTTTTTATATTTAAAAAAAATATTAGGAGGTAATGAACTTTGTAAATGATTTGTATTACAATTATATTTTCAAAATAATCTATGAGGAATAGGTACTTAACTTCATTAGAACTGTAGTTAATTTAATTAATTTACCTGCATCATAAAATTGATGTCAGTTCTGTCCTTTGCAATGCCCTCTATCTCCAATATTTTATATTCTCCAAGGCCATTAAAAATATAAAATCGCTCATCGAAAGTAAAAATATGAGGGTCACCAAACAAAAATCCTTGGAGAAAAATTTTGAAGATTTTAAAGCATATAACAATTAGGGCCTATATAAAATAATGTATTTTTTAATATAAAAATACAAACTTTTACAAGAAGATACTCATATAAGTAAGATTTCAATGTTAGATAAATATCTTATTTAAGTCATAAAGTTATATTTAACAACTTACCCCTCACCCAACTACTTGCAATACATTGTACAGTTGGTCTTAATTCATAGTATTGTTCACATAAATCAGATTGATAGCAGCACCAATTTTTTGGTTCAATATCATTCAGTTGGTGATCTCTAGAATTGTGTATTAAAGAATTGAAAGCATTGTTGCGTTGAAGGCTGCCTGCTTGTGGCTTTCTGGTTTCAAGACTGAAACTCCCATCCATACGATAGCAGCATCGCTAAAAGCAAAAGTTTAAATGTCAGCATCTGAGACTTTAAAAATATATTTTAAATGCAACAATACTACTGCCAGTAATTAATTAAAGTAATCTTATTATTCATATTAAGTACTGTTAGAGATAGTAAGGAGAAAACTTGTAATATTCTTAAGCTGTTTTAAGTGTTTCAATCCTAAGGAATTAAAACTATACTAATTTTGACTGATAAAATCTAAATTTCTGGTAATTAAAAACACGTTTCAAACCAATAGATATCCAGAAGTTTACAAAGACTAGTTTTTCAGTTACTTTCTCAGCTTCAGAAGTAAACAATAACTGATGCGCTTTCACTATGATACTAAACTATTAAACTTGTAATCATATTATTAATTGCTGATCCAGGAGTATGTAAAACATTGTTCTCTTTATTTTAATTTCCTCTTTCAAAACCTTTTCGACCATAATATGCAGTTGGCATATTAGAAAGATATATATATATATATATATATATATATATATATATATATATATATATATATATATATATATATATATATATATATATATATATAAACATAAACACATACTATAAAAATTTCTCACCCTTCCAAATTCACCATAATATGGCAGTAAATCAAAACAGTGACTTTGATTCTGGACATGTGTGGTTTGCACCCAAAGTGGACTATTGTAGGCCACCAATTCATTACATGGACATGCTGGCATTTCTATATTCTTATTATTGATAGCTAGAAAATGTGAAAAAGTAACAGACTAAAAATGCTTTTTAATTTTTAAAAAATTGGTATTAAAAATGTAAGTAAATTTAAAATCTCTTTTGATAATTTAGTTCTCCAATTTTAATTAATAATATATATATATATATATATATATATATATATATATATATATATATATATATATATATATATATATATATATATATATATATATATATAGGCTAAATATTAATATACCAATATAGGATATATATATATATATATATATATATATATATATATATATATATAGGCTAAATAAAAATATATATAAAGAGAGATGTTCATAGAGAAAAATATATACAAATATTTACAAATAAAAACAAATATATAGATGCACATTTTAAAAAAAAATATTCATACATTTGTTGCTGCTTGTCTCTACACATACTAGCACTTTTAAATAATTATCGTGTGTTTATTGCAGAACTCTTTATCTTTCAAGAAAATACAACTTTTAAAAAAAAACATATATCTTTAGCAGGCTTAGTTATCTGCCATTTTAAGGTTGCGCCTTAGAGAATACAACTTTATTATCATATCAAATATCACAATAATGTCTGATTCATGTGTAACATATAACAAAAACTATGATTCAAATACACTACACACGATTTTGCTTACCAAGCAAAACCATAATTTGCTTATGCAACATTATTTATAGCTCATTATATTTAAATTTTTAAAAAATGTAATAATTAATGTCATTTACCAATCAATTCAGCAACAGAGGCTGATCGATACCATGATCTACACAACATTTTATAGTTGTCTTTTTCTCCAACTTTGATAAACCATTGGCCAGGTGCTCCTGACAATTTAGAACCGAGAGAGTATGGTTATATTAATTCATAATAATGCTATCACTATCTGTATGTTTACTGTTTGCATTTAAACTAAAAAGACAGCACATTTTACAAGTTTGTATATTTTTTAGCCTTTAATCTACATGCCCATAATATGTAAAAATATTTTCCAATATCTATTATTTTGCTAATAGTAAAACAAATATAATAACACCATAAACTATAACATTTAATAATCCTTATAAATTAGTTTTTAAATTTAAACTAAGCTAAATGGCTTAGTAGTCTTGAAAATCAAGGCGCAAAGCCTGGACAGAAGCTTAGAAGGGCCAGGTGTTGCCCATGTATCAGTTCCTCTCTCTCTCTCTCTCTCTCTCTCCCTCTCTCTCTCTCTCTCGTTATTCTTGCAAATTTATGACAACAGGGGACAGGCATTACTATACAACATGACACCAGCTTAGTAAGCTTACTTATAGACTGTTGAAAAGAAAAGTACATTTGGTAATCCAAATGGGCTGTATGATTTAGGAGTTTTCTCTCCTACATGGGTTGGTTTCCCCAGCAATCCATTCTTATCTTACCGGTGGTTAAAAATCGAAACTCTAAGGGTTTGCAACCACGCTGACCCATTTTTTAACCTAGGAAGATAATTTTTAACATGCCTGTATTTCCCAGAACTCTGTCAAACATATAATACGACAATCTGGATGTATCGAAGTTTTGTTTTCCCCACCCAACCTCAACATTCCTTGCAGACAATGGCTTGAATTGCATAGCTCCTTGCATATATAGATAAATAGCATAGGTTGTGTAGCCATCGGTTGCAATAACGCACTGGAATGACACACGCTGAAAAAAAATTGGAAATGCTTATAAACATTGCGAAATAATGTTGGTTTAAAATGTTGTGTTAGTTTTGGTTTTAAGCAAGCATATTTAATATTGGCTAATAGTTGCATATACAAATTGATTATTTGTATATGCTGTATGTTAAGTTAAACTTGTGTATATATGTTTGGTGATACTGAGGGTTGGAAATTTAGTTCTATAGGAAGTCGAAAAACGCCAAATACTGAAATAACACAAAATAAATAACTGCAACACGAAGCCAGAAAAATTAAATTAAATTACTAAATCTTAAACAACTATCAATTAAACTAACTATAATCCCCAAATATTGAAATTGTATAATTTTTTATTATGATTTTAAAAAACTAAATAATGTATCATTTTTATATAAAAAATATAACAAACCTATTGTTATCTACGAGGCCTAATTCCCTGTTTCTTCATTTAAATAACGCTTAGCACCAAAAAAAGAAAAACAAATTGTTCTCCTGTCAACATACCTCACACAAGTTTTAATATCTAATTGGACACAGCTGCTGCTGAATTGTATAAAGCCCAGAGCACAATGCAATATTTATGTGGTTTTTGAAGTCGTGATTTGTAGTATATAGCAATTTTAGAACATTCTACCAGAAGTGATAGTGTTAGCTTTAATGGCGATATTATTTTAAAATAAATAAATCCAAATACTAAAAGTTGGAGTAGAATTCAGTGTAGGTTTATTTTATTTAAAAAATCTACATTGGTTGTTCACTTCAAACCATTTTGGTCTATTCACTATGTCGATCTAGTTGCATAAAATGAAAAAAATATGTGTTAGAAAATAAAGTCCATAAAACAGTACCTCGTTTCTCGTATTTCCTGTGACGGGCACTTTAACCCATGTGACTACAATAACAATGGTCGCAGTGTAGGTTGAAATGTTAGCATATCTAACAATGTCGATCTTGGCCCTTTCACATGCTTTAGAGGATGTTTCTAGCCAGCACTTGTAAACCTAAAGAATTTTGTAAAGGCATCTTCAGCATAATGATAAATATATTACTTTATCATATTTGAAAATTATACATGGACAGTAGCTTAACTATAAATAGTTTATTATTTAACGTGTTTATTAATGACTTACGTCAAACCTATTATGATTTTTACTTTCTCGTATATACGAAGTATAGAGGAAGTCTTGTAATTGTGCAAAAAAAAAAATCGAGATTTTTGCAAATCTCGACGTTTTACACCTGACTGATACGGAAAAACATAATTTTGCAATCTTGTCCGTATGTTTGTTTGTATATCTGTGTGTGTCTGTGTGTGTGTCTGTAAACACGATAACTTGAGTACCGTTACAACTAGGTTGATGACATTTCATATATAAGTATTTTATCAAAATCGTAGATCCGTATAAACTTTTGAGCGATTTCCGATTACCGGAAGTGGTACTTTTTCTACTTTGAATTTTTTAAAAGCCTATAACTTGAGTACTATTTCTGATAGATAAATGAAATGTCACATGTAAGTAAAAGATCTAATTTTCTACCTTTTGTCAAATTTTGAGTAATTTCCGTTGACCGAAAGTACTAATTACGCTATTTCCGATTTCTCAAAAACTAATGTAAATTATTTATAAAGTACTAATAATATTATGCACATTTTATTTGGCGTTCACTGGTGTGCAATTATTTTTTCTACGAGATTTTATTCTATTTTAAAAAGTTTAAAATTCATGTCTATATCCCGAGTTCCCATCCCCTGTTTTTTTATATAATGAATATTCGAGAAAGTTTAGGGAAGATCACTCCCGGTTTATTTAAATATGTAATTTACAGAAAGATATTCATACATGTTTCTAAAACTAAATATTCTAATTACTATATGTTGTTCTTTTTAAATCTCGAGTAAAATAACAGTTTTCCTTTTTGACTCAGCAAGACCCATGGTTTTACTTTGCTTTATTCGAACTATTTTAATGAGAAAAAAATTGCACACATTTCTTTTATAGTTTTTTTGTGATTTTGGATTTTAAAAAATAAAAGTAATGTGTGGAGTTCAATTCCGGATTTTGTAATTTAAAAAAAAAACGGTGATAGAGTTTTTATTATCATAACAATAGTTATTATTTTAATCTAAGATAAACTGCATGAATCTATAATCTCAGTTAATAACTAATTACACGTTGAACGTTTAATTCAAAATAATGTATGAAAACTGAAAGAAAACATACATGATAATAAACCTGTCCCTCATCACCATCTGTGAGCTCAAGGTCTGTCCAGTACGGAGCTAACAGAGGTCGAGGATTTCCTTTTTTATCTAACACTGGCAGTCGTTGAGGCGTGAAACTGGAGTACTCATCTCCAAAACTTATCAATCCATTCACAGAAATCTGAAAATTGCATAATGGTGTTAATATTTACCGAGCTATAATATCATTCTTCAAAGCACTAATAGACTATAACGAATATTTAAAAAAAAACTATATTTTAATTGAAAGTTTTTTTTCGAACTTACCCATATGTGTTGAAATAATGTGTTTTCATAAGGTATAAAATCTTCTATGTTAATTTTTGCTGAGGCGAATTCTCTGTTTCTAGGTAATGTTTCATCCATTGACAGAACTCCGTATGGATACGCTCCTGAAATGCATTCATAAAAGTTGTCAAAATAAACTTCTTCTCTGATAATTATAACATATATTCTAAATGTATAAAGATATCAATAGTTGTTTTTTTTTTATCTATCTATTACATTGTACTTTACAATAGTCTTTATGGCCAGCCAATAAACTTTACAGAATGACTCACGATGTTACTTGAAACTTATATATATATATATATATATATATATATATATATATATATATATATATATATATATATATATATGTATATATATATATATATGTATATATATATATATATATATATATATATATATATATATATATATATATATATATATATATATATATATATATATATATATATATATATATATATATATATGTGTGTGTGTATTTGTATGTGTGTGAGTAACTAGTGTAGTTACAAAAACAACGTAGTAGTGTATGTCAACAAGGACAAGGTCATGGCCAAAACTGAGTTAGTTATAGTTATTATACAACTGATATAAACACGTAACTGGGGTGACTAAAATTAAAATTGAATTTGACTTGTAACTTAAAGACAAACGGACAAGCTAATAGTAGAAACCATGCAATATGTGGTACCGAAATAGAATAGTTTAACATTGTTAGACGTTGTTGACAACCAGTGTTTGTACCAGTCATTTTTCTCCGGGGGGGGGGAGGTTGGGGGCACTTGATATTTTCGGGGGGGGGGGGGCGGTCTACATTTTCCGGGGGTGGGGGGAGCGGACACTAGTAAAAGTATATGTTTTGTTTACTATATAAATTTCATCTGGTTCGGGGGGGGGGGGGGGCGAGGCGGTAGACTCGACGCCCCCCCCCCCCCCGAAGAGATGCCTGGAAGAAACTCTGTTTACAACACCGGATGTGCAGCTGGGTGTATATATGAGCTGCGTTACTTTTGGGTAGAGAATGAGATATAAGATTTAAAGGTAGAAATAGAAGATGTGTGCTTCGAGGAAAAGCCCTGTGAGAGAAAGATTGCAAGTAAGAAAATGGATTGAACGCAGAGACAAGTGTTAGTAGATTTAGATACGGAGTGATACGGTGTGTGGACCTTTGACATTGGAGGTCTGTTGAGATTCACCGAATTATCTGAACTGTGATTATCATGAAGGAACAAAGTGTTGTCAGCTTATCAGAGTGAGTTTCTTTATATAAGGTGGATCGGTGCCAAATGAGGTGTCCGCGGCCTAGAGGCGGGAACTCCTAAGCCGCGGGCGAATACCTACAGACAGGTGGTTAGACACCTGTCGCATTTGGGTGCCGTGAGAAGGGTCGCACAAGACCTAACAAAGTAGGTTACACGTCTGCTGCTGCTTGGTCACACACACACACACACATACACACACACACACATACACACACATGAATTTAGCCATACAATGTTTTCAGTAAGTATACAATTAATTAATACAGCATTCCACTTATTAAACTGTTAAAATGGGCGGAAAACTTATTTTTGTCAATTTTGAATTTTTTTTTAGACAAGATCGAAAACACTATACGTTAAAGCAAAATAATAACTCTTTGAATATGGGTCGTCCATAAATGACGTCACACTGGGAGGGGACAAAGGGCCTTTAATTTTGTGACGGTGTGTAATGAGAAGGAAAGAGGGGGGGGGGGGATTTTAGATGATTTGACATCACACTTTTGAATTATAAGAAAAACAATTTTAGAGAACGTATTTTAGATGTTATTTCGCGGTTTAGAAAACTGTTTTAATAAATTGTAATAGAAATTGATTAATAATAATCATTAAAAAAGTTTTAAAAAAAACACGTTTTCTGATTGAACTAAAAAGTAGAAAATAAATGCTAAACATCACAATAATGCAAGCGATCACTCTACTATAAGCGATCAAAAACGTGGGGCGCCGAAGTAAAAGTTATATTACTATTGATTAGATAATACTATTGACTTTTATTAGGGAGCTTGTAGAGAGTCAACAGTATTAGAAACTGTAAGAAAATCACGGCGCCCCACGTTTTTGATCGCTTATAGTAGAGTGATCGCTTGCATTATTGTGATGTATAGCATTTATTTTCTACTTTTTAGTTCAATCAGAAAACGTGGGTTTTTAAAAACTTTTTTAATGATTATTATTTTCTACTTTTTAGTCTTTGTCTGTTTGTTTGCATTAAAATCTTGCTATCGATTTTATCTTTTCACTTTTTTTGGGTAAACGAAGACAGCTCGTAAAAAGACAACTCGTAAAAACACGTTGTGTGAATACGTTACTGACTAGAACACATAGATTTGAACCCGTGTCGAGTGGGATAGCAATCGTGTGCCCAACCACTCGACCATATCGTCTCCCCCATACTGGCCTACCTCCTGTAAGTTTAAACTCGGTTCAAACTAAATTATCTGCCCCTAAGCCTGTGGCGACGTGGGATCGTTCGCTTCACTGCGCGCGAGGTACGCGTCGCTCGTTTTTTTTTCTAATGGCTCGCAGAGGAGAATTATATATATAGATTATATAGCGGTCTAAAATGCTCAATAAAATGTTTCCATTGATCAATTTAGTAATAATAACAATTGAATATTCTATGGTCATCCAAAAGAAAGCTTCCCTGAAAATTTCAGCGCGCTAGCTAACTGGGAAGTGCCAGAAATTTCGATCGCAAGATTTGATTGGAAAAACAAACAAACAAAAAAACAGAGAAAGCAAGTTAAAGAAAACGTGGGAAAATACTCTATGTTGACAGAGTTTAGACCTGATTTTGGAAAACATCGATGTTTTAAGAAAAATCCAGCTGCAATTTAGAAAAGGGGGGGGTGTTGTAGGCTGAGGTGTGACGTCATATTGAGGGATGGTCTGGTTTTTATGACGGTGTGTGACGGAGGAGAGGGGGAGGTAAAAATCGTCCAAAAAAGCGTGACGTCATTTATGGATCACCCCCCATATCAATTTAAAAAAAAAAAATTTATTAATTCCCGGAGCAAATGGACTTTTGTATGTTTTTTTTTTCTGAAAGTAGGCTACAATATTATCGGTTATGGTTTATTTCAGATACTTTTACACTTGAGAAGCACTTGAAACTGTCGATGGAAGGGATGTACTAGCAGTTTCTGGGAGTCACGAGGAAACTAGTGAACGGACAAATATTATATATATATATATATATATATATGTATATATATATATATATATATATATATATATATATATATATATATATATATATATATATATATATATATATATATATATATATATATATAGTTAAAGTTCATCGTTCGGGAAAAGAAGTGATTAAAGTCTTAATAAAAATATGTTCAGGTTTCCTACAGATGCGATATTGTTATTTATCTTCTTTTAAATATTGCATTTTAACATTTGCTAAGCTTCAGCTGTTTGTAAAGTTTAATGTGCTACTTATGAAACGAAGTTTTACAAAATAAACAAAGATTTTGCACGAACAATGACAAAAACTGAGCAACGAACAGTCCAAATAGAAAACGTACATGTGATTTGGTAGGAATCGGTATAATGTTGCGTGAAATATAAAGGTAATTCCATAATTTATTAAACTGTCAACTTGTAAGTAAATCAAATATTTACACAGTTTTTATTTAAATCCAATACAGTTAGGCCAGAAATCTTAAAAACCTGAATATCAATATTTCATATAATTATATTTGTGTCAGATATATTGTATAACTGGCAAATTGAACATAAATCTAAATGTTAGAAAAAAAGTGTTGTTATTATTGTATAAGTAATGATTCATGGTTAATGTAAAATAGCTTATCCAAACTTACGTGGCTCAGATGGCCTGCATAGAAAAAAAATTATTAGAATATAATAATCATCAAAATGGTAGATTTAAATAGGGGTCCATTTACTTAATTACTAGATATCCTTTAGACCGTTTAGTGGGTAGACTCCGAAACAAAATTGGTTCTTAATACTTCTCAGACAGCAATTATTTCTGTACAGCTTTTCAAAGGGGCAACGTATGTATTTCCAGAAAAAGTTCAGTGGAGGTATTTTGATTTTGGTACTATGATTACAGCGGCCATCATGAAAATTAACGTATTCGTAGGATTTCAACTGTTCATGAAGTATTATACTTGTCACAGACTGTATTATTATGTATCTTTATTATATTGTGTTTTGCATGAATGAAGAGTACCTGGCTAGCGGAAGGACTGTCTGAGCGATCGTCATGTGTTTTTCCGTGTTTTGGGTGAGATCGCTCATTGACGTAAGGGGAGAGAAAGTGGTGAATAAAAGAGAGAGCGAAAGGTGAACGGGTGTTGTGTGCTAGGACTTGGGACTGGAACGATGGCAGTGAATGTAAGATGTCTCCATGACTTGGAGTCGTGATTATTATTTGTACCTATATCAGTTGATCTTCAAATATGGATGTACCACGGATTTATCTGTACATAGTGTAAATAAAGTTGTCATTTGAAGTTGCCACTGTTGCTCGTGTTCCTGTATGAAAGCTAACCCACAACAACAAAGAATTCATGTTGTTACAATACTTTTATAGTCCAATAAAGTATTTTTCATAAGATTCTAACATAGTTAAAGAAACTCAACAATAAAATTTAGGTGTAGGCTAATTTATTTTGAATTTTCTAAATTTGGTTGCGGTAAAAACAGTAAATAACGGTGTGTGAAAATAATAAAATTTAATGTTATCACCTGACCCAAAATTTTAAAAAGTTTAAATATCATACTTTATCATACTTTATAAACTGTTTGTATCCTCCGAACGGTTAATTTTTTTCAAGATTTGTTAATGTACTTTAGGTAAACTGTAGAAAAATAATTGTTTTCTGAAAATTATAAACAGATTTTTCCCGGAACATAATTTAAAAAAAAACTCAATATCAAGGACATTTTTTTTTCAATTGCTAATTATGAGTGTCCATAACTAGCATAATAACATGATAGTGATACCTTTTTCTTTGAGGGGAGGGGGAGATTGGTGTTGCCTTATTTCGAGACGTATGAAATTGGGCTAAGTTTGATTGCGATCAGATACGGCAAAACATATGTAAGCAAATATACTATATCCCGTGTACAAGTAGGCCAATTACTACACTAGTCCACTTAACTAGCAAAATGTTATAGTAAATTCATCACATTACCAATCCAAAATAGTTTGAAAAACATTTATATCTATTGTGTTATGTTTTGCTAACGAAAATTACCCACTTGCAGTGCCATACAATCATGTTGCCGTTTACTGGCTCACATATTTCGTACGTCTCACATGTTATGCAGTTAACTGCTTCTGCAAAATAAATATATAGATCTTTGTGGATTAGTTTTGTAGCATTTACCTTATATTTACCTAAAAATTCAATGATAATTTAATAATAATTCTCATGAAACTGTATGTAGAAGAAAAACGTATCTAATTAAGTTATCCATGTAGGTCAATAGTATATATGTTTGCACATTATCAGAGTCATACATGACAATAATATAAGTAAATTAAATATATATATATATATATATATATATATATATATATATATATATATATATATATATATATATATATATATATATATATCTTGGACAATGATTTATATCAAAGTATATATACAAAGAATCAAAACAGAAAAATATATAATCGACTACTCACGCATATTATTCGTTACATTTTCTAACTGGGATAATACGACATTGTAATTTGAATCTATTACTCTCATGTTGATCAAGGCCTTGGCTATTACCAACCGGATTTCAGCATCAAACACATTGTCGTATTCGTGTACAGAATCAAAAAGGTATATTTCAAACTCTACGATGGTGAAGTTTGTACTTGATCTGGTATTTAAGTGTTAAAAAGTATATATATATATATATATATATATATATATTTAATACATGAAGTTACAATGGACACTGTGAGCCAGTATGGGGCGGATTCGTGGATGACATGCATATACCGAAACTTGACTTGATTACCGTTGTGTTATATTTTCAAAGTGTTTATTGGTTGTATTAAAATCGTAATTTATATGTGAAAACTTAATATTGATCACTTTCAGACTAATGTTTATTTATAACATATCATTTTGAAAGACGTAATAGGCCAGGAGAAAAATTAAATTAAACTTAAACCCTTTACAAAAAAATATGCAAATGATGTCAATTTATAGGTCTACTCATTACTTACATTGAAAGATGACTTACAGAAAAATAAAAAAAGCAGAAAAAACAAACCTTTAAAGTTTTTTTTTATGTTGGAAAAAATCTTATTGGTATGGTTTGATAAAATGCAATATGTTAGGTAAAACACAGTATTTTAAATACTACCTTTTATTATTTTTATACTATTGAAATACTGTTAACTAATTAATATTTTTGATCAATAGCAGTTTAGAAGCCGCTTTCTTTGCGTTATTGATTGCTTTTATGTTTTCGATTGTGTTTGCATTTGTGTTTGTGCTTGCGTTTGTGTTACCGTCTAGTTTTCCATCGTGTTTATGTTTTGGGTTTGTTTGGTTCTTGTTAGCGTTATGTTTAGAGCTAAGTTTAGCAAATAGACATTTAATTGGAAAAATAATATATCTCCCATACTCGGACAATGCCGGGCATATGCTGCTTAATAAACACACTAGTCACGGTCCGATGCAGATAGGTTTTTGCAGAGGCCAGTGAGTTGACGATAACATTATAGCTCACGATTAGGTTTCTGCGGAAAAAAATGCAAGTGTATGTGATTTTATAATAAATTAATATAACACCATTAATTCTTACCTTAGCATATCAACTCCAAAATACGTATAGGTCAAATGTGTATACGCCATTCTTTTAATGTATGGGTCCAGGTATGTCTTAAGCTGTAAATAACATTGTTTAGACTACATAATGTATTCAAGTAATTTCATGCGTGTAAATATTATTTAATTTTCTAGATTTCTAGTTTGATGTATCAAATAAACATAATGGACAAAATAAACGCATAGAATTTACAAACCAGGCTAAAATGTGTATATATATATATATATATATATATATATATATATATATATATATATATATATATAATTTCGTCTAGAAAGATAAGCCTATACATTTTTTATTAACTGATTTAACAATACCTCCATGCATTATTTTAAATATACATTGACTTTAAAGAATAGTGTAAATAATGCAAATCGAAATAGTAGTTTGAACCCACCGATAAAGCCAATAGTTGCTTGAGTTTATTGTTCTCGGACGTTCCGTTTATCGACTCATTTCCTCTAACAATAGGAGAAATCCATAGTTCACCGCGCACTGTTTATATTAATGCACTTATGTTAACATCTTAAACGTTTTTAGATTAAAATGAAAATCTTTTAACTAATCTTACTGATTTTCTAAATATGTAGTTCTTTTAATATTATAGATGCATATACAATAATTTTATAGAATAAAAAACGCTTTTAGTAATACTGGATCATTTAATACATGTATTTTGATTTAGTAAACTAGTTTGATATTTTATGGGGAAATGTGGAGTGTTGTCAAATGTATGCCGGTTTTCACCACACGTTAAATATAAATGTAAAGTGAATAACGGCTTTTACAACC